GCTCTGCTTCCCTTCACGGGCAATTTAGAAAAAAAAAAAAAAAAAAAAAAAAAATGTGGTTTGCATTTTCAAGCCAAAGGAATGTGGACAGAACAGAGAGGAGGAAAAGAAAAAAGCTTTGAAGGCAATGTAAGATACCAACAAGAGCTGGTAAATTTACAGATTTCCTCATTTTTGAGCTTTTTTAAATGTTTCAGGTCATTGAGCTACATCAAACACACAATGTAGTTTTATTGGGGAGAAATCTATCCAAACCAACGTGGCCCTGTGTACAAAAAGTCATCACCCACCAAGCATTTCAGGAAAGAACAGCGAGCCTACAGTAAAGCACGGGGGTGGCAGTGTGATGGATGGGGAGCAACCAGCTATAAATAATGAAAACATTAATGATTAATATGGGTAATGGATCAGGACAATGAACTGAAACAGCAGGTATTCCACCTCTGAATGGATAGAAAAAAAAAACTGAGTGTCCTAGTCAAAGTATTTATTTTTTCACAGAGGGCCGGGTTGATTTGAATAACTTTTTACCCCTTAATAAATAATAACAATTAAAAAACATAATTTTGAAAATATTTAACTCTCTGTCAGTCTGACATTAAACTTTTATTTAATCTGGAAATGATTTAAAGGTACAGTATATAACTAAAACTTTTATTTAAAAAAAAAGTTTTTTTTAAACATATTTATTATAACTATCACCATGTCATCACAGTGTAATATAAGACAGATAATCTGTGAAAGGATCAATGTCCTCCACCTCCCTCCTGATGGATACTACTGCCATCTGAGGAAATGCACCAAAAACAATCAATCAGAACCAGGAGACGGGTCTTAGCGCTGTCAATCAATCTAACGTACGCTGCTAAATGTGCTAATGTCGGAGAAACAACTTACCGTTACAGAAAAACAGTTTTTTCCGCCATTATCTGTGGTTCTGCTAGCTAGCCTTAGCATTCACAACAGGACAGGCGAGCAGCAGTGTAGCAGAGAGCAGGAAGTAAAGGGGTGATTGACAGCGCTAAGACCCGCCTCCTGGCTCTGATAGGTTGTTTCTTGTTAGTGGGAGATAATGGAGGAGCTCGATTTTTTTATTTATTATGTTTTTGCACATTCTCTGCCTCATACCATACTGACAGTTTCAACAAATATGCAAGAAACACGTTTTATATTATCTACATACTGCAGATTTAAGTGTGAGGAAAAAATTTAAAACAGGTGGCAAATAGATTCTCCCACTACTGGACTAATATAAAAATTATCTGCAGAGTAAAGACCAGATTCACGTTTTCTCCGTGTGAAGCGGTCTCGGCGCGCCTGCTTACTCGTGCGTCGTACTCCAGGACGAACGGAGGAATGTCGATCTGCTCGGGTTTGATGCAGGTGAAGAGCTGCGGCAAGTTGTCCAGGTAACGGACCTTCTCCTTCAGGCCCGACACGCTGAAGGTGGTGAAGAACCAGGTGGAGACCTGCGCAGTGTGTGGACACGACGACAGGGTCACGGATGGTGTTTCGTGTTTATTTGGAGCTACTGTTAACCCTCCACAACGAAAGATAAACTAAAGAGGTTTCTAAAGAAAACAACAGAAGTCGACTAAATCTAATGACCCTTTAATGATCCTAACAAAAGCCTGGCCGTTTGCAAAAGCACTGCGGTTCTTCTAAACAATGAAGAAACGAACATAAACCAGAACCCACTCTCGCTGGAACGTCCCTTGCCAAAAAGGCAAATATTTAGAAGTACAACATTTTGTGTGTTGACTGCGGTAAACATCTAAGTGTAACGAAGTACAGCAGATTGTCTAATAAAACTACATTTGGCAAAAAGGTGAAACTTTGTTCAAGTTCAAGCTTAGTTAATAAGGTCGATATCAGCCCCTCAAAATCAGGATTACAGGTGAAATTTAGCTGTTGCTATTGAGTTGATTAATTAAATAAACTTAGTTTTGTTTTACTCTTGAGGTTAAACTGAAAAACTTCTAAATACGCAGAATCTTTTAGACTCTTTTCTTTAGCAGATGTTTACGATTAAAGTTTGTTTCTCAGACTGGGGCAAATTGCGACAGAGTATTAGGGTCAGACAAAAACAATAATAATGAAAGTATGAGAATAAAGTAATATAATTACAAGAATAAACTTGTACAAAAATAAAGTCACTATAATACGAGGAGAAAGTTGAAATAATATGAGAATAAAGTCTCAACATTATGAGAATAAAATCTTATAGTATTACAAAAATAAGGTTGAAATAATACAAGAATAAAATTAGAATATGTCAAATAGGAAATATTTTTCACTGCAAAAAAAAAAGTTATTGTGCAGAAACTAAAGAAGCGTCACGGGTCTCTTAGTAAAACTACTGTTGCTAGGCTACGATTGGTATCATGGCTGAGCAGAAACACACCAGTGTTATTGAGGTGCCAGTCACTAAAACGTTGCTTTAATAGTTGTGATTAAAGTGTTTATTAAAAGAGAAAACCTGCTGTAATCTGGCACTAATAAATGTAGTGGATGATCTTATCCTCTGTTTTTGTTTTTTTTATCACTGTTGTAGATTTTTCCCTCTAAATCAACACCACCTCCACCATAAGGCATCAACAAATTAGAAAGCTTTGCAGAAGTTCAAACAGCTAAAAAAAAAAGGGGGGGGGGGAGTGCCATGAAGGCGCTGACTCCTACCTTTGAGCGAAACGTTGGATGTACAAAATAAAAGGCCCTCAGATTCTTTTTATACCTGCAACACAGCAAAAACAGCAGAGATGAGACAGAATCCGTTTCATTCAGCATAATACATCTCACTTTTAAAGCAAAAAATAAAAAAATAGGAATCAGTGTGAACTTGGAGATTGTGGAAAGGATGAGATAATGACAAATATGTAAAAAAACAACATGTGCAAAGTGAAGTCACTGTAGCAGCACTTCTAAAAGTGTGGGTTTGAGGTCCAAAAACCACAAATTTTCCCAACAGTCAGCTCCAACCTGTCCATCAGCGATGAAACAATTACCACACAGTCATACAAAACACCAGCCGTCCCACAGAGACCACTGTCTGCGTTACTCACTGAAAATGTACAATAACTTGTTAAAAAAGCGTGACAAATGAATACAGACGGACATAAAATAGGCTGCTCCACATAACGGCCTCTGGCCAAGGTCCTAATACCAAGTTATGTCATTTTAAAATTAAAGCGGCTTCCCAATTCTCCCAGCAATTAGAGACACATGTTTGGTCAAAAAGTGTCCACATATCAGGTCCACGGGCCAGAACAGGAATCAGCCGTGTGAGCTCAGCCGATGTTTTGGTAACCATGGGTACATGGGGGGGGGAGGGAGGGGGAGAGTCAGAGAAAGTGATCAGTCATCAACAAATGCAGCAATAAGAACAGAAACAGAAAAAACGTGGCCATTGTTGAGGCTGAATTGCTGAAAAGTTGATAAAAACCCCCAAACATGACGACAATCAGCCAACATCTCACACATCTTTCTCATTAACGTGATTCACAAGGCGGCTGAGTTCCTTTGTTCCGCCTAGCCGGGCTTGATTCATCGTCTTATGACATCTTGAGCCATTCGCTGGAGTCAAGAGGTTGACCCTGAGCTCTATTCTTCCTTCAGAGATAAGCAAAACTCTCTGAGTCTGCAAACAGCAGAGACGCACTGCTGAGGTAACCACCCGATGCTAAGGTGGGAGCTGGATACTTCGGTGTGGCGAGGAAAATCATGCTTTTGTTTTAAGATAAAACCGACACACAGACACGGTTCTCGACTTCCTCTTAACAACCGGGGCTTTGAAATCGTTGATACACCAGAAGTTTAACGATGAGCAAACCTGAGACTGCCCAGAGCTGATCTGTGTTTATTGCCTCTTTGTGTTCACTTAAATTCACAAAAATTGAACAATTAAACATCTACGCTTACTATGGCCTTGCAAAAGTACTTCAAGATCTTTTCAAGCGTCACATTAAACCTCAAACTTTAACATATTTTGCAGCGTTTCATGTGACAGACCAATGACATCTTAGTATTGGAGATAACTTCTGGTGTGACCAGTCATGGAGACTCAACTACCACCAGTTCTACCTACTTAGTCTACAAGACAAATACAGGTTTGTCAGAGCCGTAGGATACCTCATTCAGTTTTCAGACAACCGGGCTTCAACCCTCGCTGCAGGAGAAACATCTCGCTCCCACATTTCCTGAACCGAACTGATGACATGAGGGGTGACCGAGGAGTGGAAAGTCGAAACCACACGATCACCACAAGGACTGCAACGGAGACCCCGCAATAACGTCTTAATGAACCAAAGGAAATGAGTCGGGTGCAGACAGTAGAGCCTTACAGATGTATGAGGGGAAGTAGCAAAGAAATACCCAAGAGGAAGACGATCCCTCTGGTGGGACGAGCCCTCAGGAGGGTGTATTCCCTGGCACACACAAGCTTCCCTGGTCTCCACCACTCGGTGTGAAAGTCATTGACTGGACAGGGACTCTCCCTGTGTGACCGGGAGTCCAGGACCGAAACCCCGTTTCTGCTCTGCCCAAATACACATCAGCTCTCACTGGACAAAGTGAATGTAATCGCTTGTTCTATGGTCCAGAGAAAACTAACAAAATTGAAATGAAGTCAAAGCGAAATCGCTCCGCCCAACCGAAACCCGGGTGGAGCAAAACCTCTGACAGAAAAACAAAGCTGTACGGTGAAGGTAGCGAAGCTCACGTTGTTACCCGTTGTTACTTGGTGAGGCATTTTTTGCCTCATCAGTCAACAACAAGGCAAAGGAGATGGAGAAAGGAGATAGAGGGGTGATTGAATGAGTCACGCGTCGGGTCCGTAAACTTATTTTGTGGGAAACCATGGAGAAATTGACGTTAAAGCCCAGGAGCCTGATCTTGGAAGACTCCATATAAGGAGCACTGATTTGCTTTTGCCAAAAATGAACGTATTTCATGTGAGACCGTAAATCTGTGGAACATGCAGCAATAATCTGCAGCTCATTTTCCGGCCTTTAGACCCAGAGCACCCAGACATAACGGTGTTGCGCCATAACGAGATTTTGGCTGGAAATATTAGGTTGTCCTGCTGGTGGACAATATTTGCCGTCCATTTTATTATTATTTTTAATCTTCCAGATATTCGACCAGCCGTGCTTTCTGTCATTGTATCCAAGCCTCCTGCTCTGCGTAGCTGTGTGCTTGTAAAAAGCAGGTGAATATTAATTTATGGTACGTAAAAGATCGGCTTTGATCAAGTACGCAGGCTGTGCATGAATATTTGCGCCACATGCCTGAAGTTGCTGCTTTACAAAGAAACTGCATCCATTTGTAGCCGCAGCACACATTTATTGCTTTGGACCCGACTCGATGCCTTAATTTCTGATTTAACCACAAAGCGTATGATGTAACGCTGACAAAATGCTGTAGTTATACAGTCGATCGCTGTAGCATTCAGCTCTTTATCGGCCACAGGCGTTTATCCAACTTTTACATTTTTCCAGACTGTTTACGCTTTGGCTCTATTCTAGATGTTCTGGATAAAGTGTGTCATAATTTCAGGTCCCCCACTGACTAGTTGAACTGTTTTCCAATATTAGTTTTTGCCAAATCTCAGCGCATTCGCAACGATAAACCCCGACACTTTGTCAGAGGTTCACGTCCTTCAGGTGAGGGGATTTTACTATCCTGTCATGACGTAGTGAGTTTTAACAAATATGTAAAAGTTACCTGCCGCAACTTTGAGTCATGCTAAGCCAACATGTGTCTGCTGCCTGATAGGCAACTGGAAATCATAAAAATACCTCCAAAAGGAAGTGGCTTTTCTACATTACATTAAACAGCAAAACAATCTCTACCTGAAGCTTACATGTGGCCATGTAGGTTGTATGAGTACAACTTACAATGAAATGTCAGGACGTTCATAATTTGCATTCCACCTGCATTCACAGAGGCCTGTGATGAATCAGTAAAGGGCGTGAAGACGCTCGGCGTTGTTGTGAATGACTGCCTGGGCTTTCCCCGTTCCACTGAAAGGGGAAGTGGGACGGAGGAGTTTTCATTCATGTTCTGTGACGGCCGCCTGAAAGCTGCACCCGGCCTGTCCGCCATCTTAATTCTCCACCATGTGAACAGACCGCTCGCATAAAACAAAACAATAAACAAAACCTAAAACTGTCGTCCTTCGTGTGAATTTATTACGCAGCGTGAAGTGAAACTAGTGGAAAAAGTTGCCAGATAGAAAATGAATGAAAAAGATTTGGTGAAACCAAACGAATGAACATTTATAGAAAGCAGGGAGAGCAGCAACATGATGTGTTTGAAGGTGTAATGGCTGCAAGGAGATTCCCACAGGTTACCCAAAAAAATACTGAGTTTTTCTTGAAGTTATCGTGGCAGGAAGTTTGTTTGTGTGAGGATATAAATACATATTTTACCTCTGTGAAGGTAGTTTATGTTAGAAAACAAAGAAAGAGAAAGAAATCTTGAGTAAATATAAGCCTCATTTTAGATAAAGAATAAAACAGATCATTTTAATTATGTGGACTAAACAAAGGGAAACACACAAGTATTGCTGGAAGTATTCAGCTAAACAGAACTGATATCTTAAAAAATACGGAATCCAGATCAGGAAGTAGAAAGACTCTGACAGACAACTTTAAAAACCAGAGTGACTGAGATTTAAAGGAAGAGCACAGTGGTCAGTGCTGGAAAAACAAAAACAGGTGGATAAACAGAAGTCAGTCACATGTGATGAACTCTGAGCAGCAGTGGGAATAACGAAAACTCACCATCAGTCAGAATCTCAGAATCTGTACCCAGCATGTCAGAAACCAAAGAACAAATCACGTTCATATGGTCTGAATAATTTAAGACTTTCTGACTGTTTTTAGCTGGTCTTCAGAATAAAGACAGAAAGTAAAAGAGAAAAAAGTAAATCGTTAAAGCCAAGAGAAGCATTTGCTGTCCTTGGTGTCTTAAAACAAAAAGTGCATCTAATTCAGAGTAAATTTTTCTCAAACAAAACAGCTCAACTCTAATGAAATGTCCAAATCAATTCAGTTCAACGAAGGAAAATCACATTTTGTCAAAACTCATTTACACATCCTGTGGATGGTGGCAGCGTGGGCAGGAAGGACCTCCAGCAGCAGTCAGTTTCGCAACGAATCTGAAAAGGCCTCTGACTGAAGAGTGTGTCTGTCGCACACAGAGCTGGACGATGCGGCTGAAGAACATGTCAGGATCTAAAGGTTCCATATCAATATTGATCATTATTTCTCAGCAGCTTCGCGGCACGTTGGCGAAACATGAAACTGCTGCTGCGGCAGTTACTCAACAGGCTGTTGCTAGGCAACCAAAGAGTGAGTGAGATGATGCCACCAACCTTTCTTATTCCTCTGCCTACATCTCCCAGAATGCAGAGCGGTTCTGGATTGGAGTTGAGTGAATATTCCATCAGATGTATAATCTATTGATATTGATAACATGCCTATCGTGATACATATTGTTATTGATTTACGGTACAGCCCTTGTCCCACATGCCTGTCATGACATGCTAACCGTTGCATTTTGAGAGGCGACGTTTCAAAGTAGCATGTCTTCGGTGACGACAGTTTCTGGCAAGCAGCTCTAATCCCGCTCATTTGTTTTTGCCTCTTTAAATTTCAGTCTGTTAAACACACTGATGGTCGTCTCTATGTGTGAGACTCTCCTTAAAGGAATCGCTGCATCTCTTTTATTGCAGCCATTAGCTAGCTGGCTACAGTCTCCATTACTCAGCCTGGCTCAGCTACCACATCTTTGAAGTCTGTTGGTGTTTTTAATCATCCACTGTTTTAAGCCTAATGAGGTTTGTGTGCTTTAAAATGTAGCACTGCTGCCAAAAGATGGACCTCTACAAACTCATTGATCAGTTTTAACTCCAACGTCTTCGATTGGAAGCCGGTTAGTTTATCAAACCACGAATAAACTCCGTTGGCGGATCAGTTCCCAGCGCGGACTCAAGAAAAAATAAGATCTGAAACTCTGAGTTGAGTTTGACTCAGGAAGTAAAAGTTCAGACTGACTTGATGTCGACGACGTCGTAGAGGTTCTTGAGGAAGTCCGAGTCCAGGTGGTTGTGCTCTCCGGTCAGCGTGTGGAAGTAAACGATCACATACTCCTTCACTGTGATGTGATCCATCACATGGATGAAGTACAGCAAGGCCTGAACGGGAAACACAAGCTGATTTTTAAAAGCCCTGCTCTTTAAAACAGGAAGCGAAGAGACGATTGGGCCCAAAACTGCTTAGAAGATTTTTAAAGATACCTTTTCAAGGTCAATGAGGGTCACTGGAATGTTTCGTCCAACCACCACCATCACCGTCCTGCCGCATATGTCCACACCTAACAGAAACGTTAGAGAAATTCGCTGGTAAAAGTTTCACCATCAAGAATCTGTCTCTTAAACGCGTTAACAAGCTCTACTTAAGCTTCTCTATAGTTAGATTTATTTGAGCCGATACCGCTTTCCCATTTTATAATATCTGTTGGTTTTTCAGTGAAGCAGAGAGAAGCAGGCTATTCATTTTTATTATGTTTTATAGTACCATCTCTCCTGGATTCAATAAATCAGAAGGTACAAACAAATATTTTGCTATCTGAAGTTCTTGAACAGGAATCAGAACTGAGTCAAATCAGGACGAGCAGCTCAGTCATCAGAAACTGGCCACAAAGTCTCTGATCGGTGCATTTTTAGTCATTTATTATATCGTTTTGTTTTTTCTCTGAAGAGGAAAACAGATAAGGCAAGAAAATACATTATGATGTGGCTTTTTTTTTTAACCAGAGCAGAGCGAACATGAAAAGTTCTGCATCTGTAACAACATCGCTGTGGAAAGCCGAGAGTCCGTCAGCGTGAAAACAGGCCGGCCCGGTTATCAGCCACATCAAACCACCGACTTCATGCTTGAACTTTGTGACACATCTAAAACTATTCTGAGAGCAGAGTTTGCTTAAGTCCAATTTGAATGCATGCTTTCTGTTCTCGGGTTGCAGAGCGACAGCGTCTGCAGTCTCACTGAATTCGCCACAAGTCAGCCAGGTTTGACGACAAAAGAAACGACACAAATGACACTTAGGAAAACAAAAACAGATGATGTTACAGATGATGAAGCAACATGCCGCCAATCATTTAGTTTTCATCTACTTGGACTTCCTGCTATTTGAAATCGAATAGAAAAGCAACTTTTTGTGCTACTTGGTTGCTTTCTCAATAAAAAGTGAAAAGGAGAAGAAATTCAGCTTCTACTATAACCATTAAATATTAAAATGTTCCTCATTTAAAAAACATAAATGAATAAAGATGTCATGTTGAAAAAGGAAATCCCACAGCCAGATACAGGACTGTACAAAAACAACATCATCAGCGCCTCCTCCTGGTGACAAACAGCAGCTGCACCTTAGAAACGACAAACTCGGTTGATCTCTCACAAAACCACATTAGAGGCTCTGGACCACAACACACACACTCTACACACACTCTACACACACTCTACACACACTCTACACACACTCTACACACACTCTACACACACTCTGGTTTCACTCACTGACAGCATGCAGAGGATTGAGGCTTTAGTAACTGGCTGAAGGTTTTATCTGGATTCAAAGTGTTTCCATTCAACAAAAAAGTTCAAACAAAATGATTTTAATTCAAGCAGAAGGATCGTGTTTGTCTGAGGTTTTTATTCAGGGTTCCTATATTTTACATATCTAAATTCAATATTTCTACTCACTTACGTTTCTAGATCCTCATCCAGTATTTCTGATAACTTTCCATTTGAATATATAATATTGAGGTAGAACTGTCAGGTCCTACTTATGGCTGTCACAATTAGCAATTATTCAATTCATTAATAATTTCCATTCTAATTATTAGCATTTTTGTTGGACAAAATACTCTGTAATTTCATTTACAGAGACTCCATAAGACATTTTATGTATGGTTTCGGTTGCAAATAGTTTCCATTTCCTTTTTACTGTTGTCGTGTTTTATTTTGGATATGTAAAATATCTCCCAGCTAAATGTTGTGTATGAAATTAAAGTTGCTCATCTTTCATTATGATGCCATGTATTATTTTAAAATGGTCTCAAAACAACAGTATTATCGTTTATCGCAATCATTTATCTGTTATGGTGACATCAAGTCACACTGTAACGAGACAATGAAGGCTTTTGCTTCAACCATCTGTTTTAAAATCCAGAACTCTTGAATTTTTCCCAATCTAATATTCAGGGATCTACACCAAATGTGATTCGTCTCTCAGTTTGAAAACTTCTGGAGCTGTTTTGTGTGAAACACTCCTAAAAAAGTAGCAATCTGAGAGCTTTTTATATCCAACAACCTCATGAACAGTTCAGCCTGAATGTAAAGCTGTTCATAGAAAGAGCATGAAGAAAAAAAACAACTCTTTACTGACGTGTGTTCAGTTAGTCAGTAACACTAATGGGAATGTTAACCTTATTTTTTGCAACTTTGAGTTAGTCTACAACATTATATTTGGGTAAAATACATGTAGGTTTGAAGTTGTAATGTGAAACAGTTTAAATAGTCTTCATATGCAAAACATGAGATGATAATTGGCTGCCTAGGGATGTTGAATAGTAGATACTTTAGCTGCTGTAAGCAGCAGCCGCCTCTCCCACCTACCAGTCTGATATAAGGCTTTCAGCGCAGCGATGTCCGACAGATCCTCCGCTCTCGCTCGACACAGCCAGCGACTGTAGCTGCAGGACCCAAACACACACAGAAAGAAGAAAGGTTGCTTTTTGTTACACAGTGAATGTAATGCAACCAACACCTGTACAGAAACATAACCGCCGTGTAACATCTGGTAAAACCGAGGCTTTCTGTGAAGTGGTGGCTGATGCTGGACGGCTTCAAATCATCTCGGCTGCGGTTTGGAGGAAATCAAAGCAGGTCGTTTAGTTCGGTGGTTCTAAGTTACACTGAAAACTCTGACAGCCCGTCTGGGATTCCTTCTGAGGCATTCTTTCTTTTTTTGCACCTGCTTTTGCACTCAGTAAAGTAATGGTAGCAAAAAATACAAGTACAGACGTGTAGAGAAATTTTCCAGTTTTCTGTTTGCCAATTTCTTTACAAGGGTTATAAAGCATTTTAACTTAGTGTAAACTTTGTTTCAACAATTAAATTTCACAAAACACTTTCCATGAAATAAAAACTTCACTGGATGAAAGATGATCATCTCTGTAATAGACCCTTAATGTTACTACAGCACATTAAAGAACAAGCTGTTTGTTTGCGCCAATTTATTTTTGAGTATCAGAGGCTTTACTTGGTATTTAACCTGATTGGTGCATTAATAGCTGCGTTCCCATTAACCACAGAATTACAAAAATATATTTGTTTAATGGAAACGTGGCACTTCTGAAAGAAGTCGTGTTTTCAGAAAAAACCTTTTGTGAGTTTTCAACCGTATCAAAATTAGTGTATTTCACAAACTGCAACAGAAATGCTTTTTCTGCACCACACATAAATGCACCAGACGCATCAATAACCCTCTTCAGTGTGGAGGTTGTTACTGTGGGAGGACGTCCGTGAGGTGTTTACAAATAAGTCAGAGAAACTTCAAACAGTGTAAGGAGTTAAAGAAAACTGTTTTCTGTCAAGGCTTGTCAACGGTTTGTTTTTGCCGCTACGGTAGAAAGCATGTTGTCTTCACTGCTGTGCACTTTGAACTCGACTTGGTACATTCTGTCAGAGTGACCAACAAGCAAAGTGACTGCGAGAAAAGCTTAGTAGAAAACTGCCAGAGTAAACTACAGCAAAGTTTATCCAATCTACTCTTTTGCGTTTCCAACCTCTGTCTGGATTTGGAAATATTGGCGGCTTTGTTGGAAATCTCACAATTAAGACAAGAGAGGCATTTTCAGGGGAATAAACAGAAACAGTAATGCTAACCAGGCTAATACAGGAGTTTGAATATCTGTTTTAAATTAGTAACAACCTGTTTCACAGTAAATGCTTTCTTACACACACAGTGTGACATCACCTCTAATTATAATGCAAATGATTAATAACCAGTCAGAAGACAGGCCAAACTGTAGTGAAAAGCTGCTATTTATAGTTTTTCAGAGAAATCTGAATAATCTGTGACAGGCTCAAGATTTACAAGAACTAGAGATTGGAAATTGATCATAAATCTCTATTCTTATCTAATGGGATATATTTAGCTGGAGACATGCTTTTCAGAAATATTTCCTTTGCTGGGACTCTTACTTTCTCTGGTGCTGTTTTTGTATGGCCGCCTCAGACATCTGGCCCTGCAGGATCAGCTTCCTCTGCTTGTCCACGTCGCCCTCCATCCGAGCAAAGGCGTGATTCCCCACCTGACCCAAATCCAGATCCAGGCTCTCCTCTTGACACTCGTCTGGACATAAACAGATCATACTCGGTTCTAATGCAGGGTTTCTGCAGGTTTCACCAACTTAAATTCAAGACTTTACAACCATTATGAAGGGCATTTAAGACCCGTATCTCCACAGAAACGCACAAACTTCATCCAGGTATGTTGGCAGCGAGTTAGCGATAGCCTCAACCGAACGGTCAGAGTGCAACTCAAAGTTTTGCCTAACAGAAAAGTAACATGACACTAAATAAATATACCAGGTAAGTAATCATATCAAGACAAAATTCAACTTACTTAAAAAAAAAAAAAGAATCTAGTACATTTTAAGGTCTTAATTTTAGATAAACAGATTTAAGACTTTTTAAGAACCATTAGGATTGTAATTTAAGACCTATATTTCCATAGAAACGTATAAACTTTGTCCAGCCAACTGTCGATAAAGTTGCTATCTTAGCAAATTAGATTAGCGGTAGATTAGAGTTAGCGGTAGCCTCAATCATCTTGAGGAGCGACTCAAAGTTTTGCTGCACAGGAAACTCCCACGAGGAAAAAAAAATGCACAGAATTTACTAAATTAAATCTAAGACCTGTGTTTAAAAAATGAATTTAAGACATTTTAAGCTCTTACTTTAAGTCTTTTAAGAATGCACTGGACCTAAATGAGGCTCCTCACAGAAACAAAACCCCGTTCTGTGAGGGGACAGACTGAGATAAACAGTCTGTTTTCTGTTTATTTCCAAAACACAAACTTGCTTACCTCACTCATGTCAGAATATTTGCTTGTTCTCATGTATTGCAGTACACAGACGCAGATGTACATGACATTATTTGTGTGCCATTGGAGTCATGACCTCAGCTGACAGCATCCAGGCTCCGCTTCAAGCCCTCCTCCCCCCAAACCACATGCGATGCGAACATTTGATCAGCACTGACAGAGCCGTGTGTGTGTGTGTGTGTGAGGCTGCTGTTGGGCTTCCTCTGCAGTGAGCCTGCTTGCTTTGGATCCACATTCTGAAGCCACATCTCCCAACTTTGAAGCTCTGCGCCAGAAGACATCACAGCTCAGGTCAATCGAGACAACAGACTCAAGTTGGAAAACCTCACTGGCTGACAAAGGCTTTGGCTTTCACAGTCCAGCTCCCAGAAACCTAACATTTAGAACGCGTGCAGCTCCAGAGGTCACGCAGATTACCGAGTACATGGAGCTTTGAAGGCCGGAGCGGACCGGACCGGGGGCTTGGCTGATATTTTGTGCTTCTTTGACTCGTTTCTGTCAGGAGCAAACAGCTGCATATGCACTTTTCCTGGGATAATCGGGATCTATTCTTTCAAGATGAATTGAAAATGAATGTTTCTGTAGGAGCAGGAGAGTTTCATTTCACGGTGCTGCTGCGCTGCCCTCACTCATAAAGAAACCTTGCACGGTTACAAACATGCTCTGCTCTCCCTCAAATCAAACCTGCAGCATCCACTCCAGTCAGACTCGTTACATGAAAACAAATGAGTCATATTTCATCTTAATGTTAAACAGTGGGATTGAGTTTGCTGCAAAACAAAGAAGCTAGTAGCATCAGAACAGTTTAGCGATGGCTCCTAAATGATGTAACATTGACATTTGTAACGCGCCACATTCCTGGTTGATAAAGTTTATATTTTTATCTTATTTTCTGCTTATAGACAAAGCAAGTGAAGGATTTATTACTTATATTAAATATATGTGCTCTGTTTCTGTTGTTTTTGCTATATTTTTCATGTTGGCATAGTTTTAGACAGAAATATAGACGAAAGAAAAATCTGAAATTGTGACATGTGTTTGTGACCACAGGGGGGCGCTGGAGCCTTCGATCAACATTGTTTTTACTTCAATATCTTCAAAATCCAGGTTTGCAGAAAGAAAACTTTCTTAACACTAATAAACTTGTATGTTTTACTAATAACAATACAATCCTGTTAATTATGTATGGAGGACGATGCTAGAGACTCAAATTCAAAAGTACTTTATTGATCCCGAAAGGAAATTAAAAGAATATTCAGCCTGTTTTATCCTGATCCAATGATTTGCAGCTAAAATACAGAATAATCTGATATTTTTCCTTCAATCATTAAATGCATTAATTGAGAACCTCCACAGTTTTACGTGTAGAAACCAACAACACAAACTTTAAAGCACTTTTTTAAATCTCTATTTTAACAAAAACCAGATAGAGTCGTATGCTTTCATGCATGAGTATAATCTTGTGATTTTTTTGGTTTTTATTGGATTCAAAACCATTAAGCTACCCAAAAATCTGCGGCAGATTTATTCTTTTGTGTGCAGTAAGACTTGGGAGAAGAAAGTTGAAATCCATCCAGAACTAGCAGCTCATTACTCAGAGAAAACACAACCAGAAAAAACCCCATCAGTGAATCTCTCCATCTTTTCGTTGAACTTTATTTTATTTTAGACTAGAGCATCTAAAAACACATCCTCATTTTCAGATATCGCCGTTATGCGCTTCTTGTCCTTAAATAATCTCCACTTATCTGCTAAGCCATCATTATTAAGATATTTTAGAGCAGAGTTTTTCTCAGAACTTTATCTTCAGGACATTATGAGAACAAGACGATGAACCCAAAAGAACTGGACTACATCTTGTTATTTTTAGCCAAAAAAAAAAAAGAGTCCAAAAGGATATTAGGCCTCAAAGCTTCATAAATGCAGGTTTGTAAAGTTAGACTCTTGCTGATAATTACTGTTTTCGATGAACGCAGTCCTGACTGCACTTCTGCTCACTCGGCTTCATGCAGGAAACCAGAGATCTGCTTCCAGCTGCGTCTGCGTGAGATTTGTTTCCACTGTCTGACTGACACATCGAATTGCTTCCACACTTCATCCTGAGAAAGGAACATTTCTAACCCATTAGCTGTTGGGGTTGTGTCACTAATTTCTGGTTATTTTTTTTTAAGCCAAAATAAAAAAAAAGCCTACATCTGTAACATAAAAAAAAACAACATGTTTTTCTTGAGAGGGAAGACTGGACGCGAGAAAATATCAAATTGTGCATGCGTCAGCTTGTTCTGCTGACTTTTAAGCCAAAAGGAACGAATGTTTGATCTGATTCCGTTTCCCCAAACTTGATACCGACCGCCTGACAAATAACAATTATTTTTTTTCCTCTTTCCAAACGGATTGTTCTGCTCCAACGATGGGAGGACGTACCTTCCAGGCTGCCTGGTTTCTCTGCGATGCGGATCTGTCTCTCTGGAACCACGGGCTCGCCCTCCGAGTTGCCAATGTCAGCCGGGATGAGAGGAAGGCAGAGCCTCTCCTCTTCCTCGGAGCGAGGGTAGTACAGCGAGAGAAGCTTCTTGTACACAGACTAAAAAAACACACACACATTCATCTCAGTGTTTTTTCAGGTGTTTACAGACATTTTAGAGAGAACCATTAAGAGATTTTCGTAAGATTGTCTATAAGGTTATTCACCACCTTTAGAAAAAAAAAAGACGATTCCAACAAAGTGCTTCAATTAAATTAAAAAATGCTCGATTTATCCCAAAAGGGCAATTAAATGTAACTCTTGAAATCCATGTATTTTCAGAGAGTTAACATAGATGGTGATGCCGTGGAGATCCAGTAGCAGTCAGTCTCACATCAAATCTGAAGCAGCCTCTGACTGAAGACTGTTATGAGCTGCAAACTGCTCAATTTCCAAACAATATCACACAGTGGTATGTAGAAGACAACCCTACAGAATAACCTTCTGAGAGCTTTTCTCACCTTCATTGGTAATTCAACAATTATCACATCTGTTTAGCGTAAATTTTGCCTCATACCTTCTGATTTCAGTCGGCCATGACTAGCACTTGGACTGAAGTGCTAGTCAGTCCAAGTGCTAGGAGCATTTTATAATATTTTATAATAATGACTGGAAAAAAAATCGATTTTATAAAAAATTATCAGATGCATTTTCTTTTCTCAACTTCCCTCCTTTGAAAAACACTGTCCAGCAAATTTGCTGCTCCGAGTGGTGAAACAAAACCTCGTTGATACAGAAATGCATCATAACAACCGTCCAAAGGTAAAGAAGAAGCAAAAATCCCACCATCTGCACAGCATCCAAAAATGGAAGGAACAATTGAAAAAAGAAACAACAGCAATGCCTCAACCAAAACAAAAACGATGAACAATAATTTACAGAGTCACTCCAACATGCTGACACCGTGTCTGAGCATTTAGACCAAACACAATTTCTAACACAGATTTTGCTTGAATGTATTTCTTCCAGTATTTGTGGATAATTCTGTAGCGTTGGTGCGTATCGGTGTCATACTGACCTCCTCTGTGTCGGACACGGCGAACACCACCGTGTCGATGCCGTTTCCATGGTTCTCCAGGAACCGGCGCACTGTTCCTGTAAACACAGCAAACCAAAAAAAACACGGTTATTACTGGAGGCATTAGTGAGATCAGCACACCAAACGAAGCTCCCGCATTTAAAACTTAACATTCGTTGTAGCTCGCCGTCATTAAATACGAATCACGACTTACATTGATGCTTGCTCACATAGGTGTTTTAAAATGAAAGTGTTACAAAGTCTATCAGTAATTCTGGCTGCAATGGATGTTTGGGCAAATATACCAAGAAGTCAGACCAAGCAACACCTAGAAGAACTGCGAAAAACCCCAACTAGAAGTGGAGAGAGAGGCTTCGAGGAAAACTGTGCTACGTGCCGACATGTTTTTTCCACTTCAATCTAAAAGTTTCTGCCATTCCTGTTGGGGTCAGCGAGGCCTGATGAGTCGCAGCTGAATTACCAGATCAATGCTGCCAACAAGGTGAACTAACATTAGCTTTACTCAGGAACACAGATGTTGTTCGGCTAATACTAGTGAGTTTGCTAATTGCTGTTCCCATCCAATTCTCATGAGAATTTTGAGCAAAAAAAAACCAAAAAAAAGGAGCGTTTCCATCTACGGGTTTGGAGCGAATCAACCAGGCTGCTGCACAAAGCAAGATGTTATCAGATGTAGACGTTTTGCATGGCAGTACTAACGCCAGCATGGACCACACCTCTGAGGTTTGTGCCCCTGGTGAGGCAGAGACTCACCAGTGAGAGGGAGTGGTTGGTTATTTGGTAAATGTGTTTCCATCTCCCATTAAGTGAGTCAAATCTTTTTCAGAAAAGCCAAAAACCACCTCAAGTTAGCGAAAAAACATTTTTTTGTGAAATTGAGAAAGTTATTTCAAATTTTGCCATTTAAATGAACCTTTTTTAATGCAATACTTCAAAATGCACATAAAAACTGTTGATGAAAACACAGTTAACGTAAACTAACAGTGTTTCCCTGATGTGGACATTTTCAGTCTGATTTAGATCGCCACAAACGGCCAAAACATTCATTGTGGCGTCGACTAGCCTGCTAGCTGTTAGCACTCAGATGTTTTCTCTCCTTTCCACTGAGCTCAAAGTCACATGACTTCTTTCCGCGACAGGTAACAGAACCAATACCAGTAACTTGTCACCGATTCACTCAATCCAGTGTGGAAAGTATTGGTGCCGCTGGCAGGTAGTGGTTGTACTTTTTGGGTGTGGTTCCTTTTAAACTCTTTTACTTTCCTTTTCCTCTGACACAACATGTCCATTAAGCCACACGGCTTCGCCAGCACAGAGCAGAAGAAGAGAAGAGTCTGCGTTTCCCTCAAAGCGTTAAGAGACAGACGCTTCTGGACGGGCCTTACTGAAAGCGATGTGTGCAGCGTCCTCCAGCGGATAGCCTCGTTTGGTTGTGGTCACCACACAGAAGCCGACAGACGCCATCGACTGTTCTCTGCGAGGGATGGAAGAAAGAAACAAAAACATTTTCACAGGTTGGTTTGCAAAAAAGTCTAATTGCAATCAAACCTCAGGGATATTTTTAACTTATGCAATAAGTTATAAAATATAATAATGTAAATATAATAATAAAATGTAGTTTAGCCTCTCTGTCCACCCACACAAATGAATCTCTTGGTGCCATTTTTAACTCCCAACAGGAAGTCGTCGTTGTTTTGGAGGATTGTGATTGACTGGCACAGTTTTTAGCTTTGCACTACATCGCCCCCTATGGGTTTGGCATGTTCAAAACAACGCTCGGTGGTGTAATTCAGTGGGTTTGTGTGGATGAACACTTTTCCTAAACCAATCCAGTACGATGTTATTTTTTCAAACAATGTGGCATATATTTTCATTTTTATAAAGATACACATGTAGAAAGCCTAAGACTCTAATTTAGTAAAAACTAAAGGCATTTTAAAACAAGCAAAGTTTAAAAGGTTGTGTTTTTCTGAAAAGAGGGAACGTCTGAGTAGCTTTTCACTTTCTAACACTCTAATTTCTAAACTTTCTAAGTTTATTGTGCTTTCACTTCGACTTTAAAAGCCAAAACGGCTGCAAATTTGATTAATGATCCAACGCTTTAATTGTATTATTTCTGGAAGAACTAGATTTGCTTTCTTTAAAAAGAAAAAGAAGAAGCATGTTTATCGCACCAGGCCACATCTGTGAGGAAAGAAATGTTCAACAAAAGTGAAGGACTGGGTATCGCTCCGGGCCGTTTCCCAGCCAGATGGAACCAGAGAGTGTTTGTGAGAGTAAGGAAGCTAGACCAGATCAGACGGACTGAGTGGCCGGTTTAGCTGCTGGGTCTTACGCTGCCAGCTGCATGACGTTCCTGTAGCAGCTGAACAGAGAGCTCTCCGCTGCGGTCCTGTACTTGGCTTTGTACTTCGGTCCCACCGTGTGGATGATGAACCGCGCCGCCAGGTTGAAGCCTTTGGTCAGCTTGGCCTCGCCGGTCCGACATCCTGCACACAAAATACACCAGATACAACTTCTGCTTCACAAAAGCACAGAGATTCACCGTTTTCACTTCTGATACCGACACCGATAACAATCCGATACAGGAAAGCAGCGCTAAATTGACTTAAATCGTTTCTTTTTTTCAAAAAAAAGATAAATAAATAAATGTACTGAATTATTCTTACTATTTAATAACTCTGCACCGGTACAGCACACTTAAATACACCAATAGCTTCACAGGCCTGGTGAAGCATGTAAAAATAACACAACTTTAATCTGTTGAGTCAGAAGTATAACAGCCAATGTAAAATAAGTAATGAAGAAACTGAAACAACAGATTGATTATTTTGGTCAAACGTAAAAATAAACTGCAAAATGTCTCAAACGGTTCAGAAGGTGCAGTTAGGAATCCTAAATATGATGTAAAATAAATGATAAAGCACAGAATTAGACTGAATAGATCGGCCCTTAGAGATCGGTCACATTCTCAACGATACCTGATCTGGAATTGTTTTCGATATCGGGATCGATAACAATATTATAATATCCGGTCGGTGCATCTATTTTGTGTTGGTCTATCACATAAAACCTCAACAGGACTAAAATAAGCCTCCATAGGTGCAGATCTCCATATGAAGCTTCTGCCTCTTGGTTTGTTTTCATCCTCTCCGTTGCTCTTCCTTCCGGCTCTACCTTTGAGTTTCACGAGTTCTTCCCTCAGTTCAGGCCCGGCGAGCTGATGGATGCTGTCCGACACTGGATTCTTGTCGCTCAGCGACTCGTTGCTGGTGTTCACAATGGCAGTGCAGTTCAGCAGGGCGACGTCCCCGGTGCTGTGAAAACAAAATCAAAACAGTCGTTTCGACTTCCTTTGGACAGTCAAGGCGTGAAGATTCAGTCTATCCTGACCAAAGGATTATTAAACATCTCCTCATGCGTGTAAAGAAAGGATGAAAAATGACTGCAGAGGAAGGGAGAAAAAACATCTTTGCATGGGGTTTACTAAATTGATTTTAAGAGGTACAAACAGTTCTGATTTAATGACTGCACACCGTCGTAGTGGACATGAACTCAACGTTGCGTATGGGCTTTTAATGGTGCATTTTTTACCAGCTATTTTTCCAGCGAGCAATGACTGCAACACACATGTTCACTGATTTTTCCAGTTCACAATGTCACATTTATTGTGTTTTTGCTCTAATCCACACACACACCAAGGCTCAAACATATGTGTACATTCACAATAATGACTTTACTGGGGCGTCCTGACACAAATCTTTAAGATGAGATTTACTTTATTGAACGAATTTTGAACCAGGTGTGATTTGAGAAAAATAAATATTCAAACCTGTGGAACCGACTCTTTTTGTTGTTGTTGTTGTTTGTTTTAAGCACATTTCAGTGCAATGTGGCGTAAACGGAATAGAAAAAGAACAGGTCACAAAAATGTGAAAAGCCCAAAATTAACATGATATTCTGACCTCCAACTTGACCTTCTGTTCCGACCAGAACGGTGAGTCAATTAATACAAGAGGAAATTAAAGCAGAAAAAGTAAAAAAAAAAGATGGAGTGAATCAGCAAAGAGGTCGACTCTAATAGCTCCAAAGAGAGAAAAAAACTAAAAAAGTGTCACACAGGCCAAACACCGTCACTAATGACGTCACATTCAACCTTCTACCCAGTTTATCAGGCAGATTATTTCTCATTCAACTATTAACTCTGTAAATCAAACGTACAGAGAAAACCTATTGATCTGACAGACTCTGCAAATGCAGCAGCAGAGATTAAGCGTTTGTGTAAATGTTGGAGTTTTCTAATCACACTCTGGTTCTCTAAACGGTCGGAGTGAGCAGCAGAAGGAATCCGTCCTGCTGACCTCACAAAGAGCCGCGACACATAAGCTCGTTTTAAGAGGTCACAAGCTAAAAGGTGCCACGGCCCGCGGGCCGCTGGTTGCTGAGCTCTGGTCATGTTACTGGAGCAGGAATGTGCCTCCTCCTGCTGGGGGCCGCCGCAACAACAAGGCTCCTACAGAGAAGCTGCTGCAGTCAGTCAGGCCCCGGGGACGTGATGCGGTCGTCCTTAAAGTCTTTAAAGGCGTCCATTGATTCTAAACCGGTCCGTGTGAAACATGGAGAGGTGCTTTAAACTTCTCACACAAACTAATCTAATTGAGTTAGTATTGCCTCCTGCCTCAAACTGCAGGAGTGTTTAAAAAATGTTTGGCCCCTTATGAATTTCTTCATCAAGTATGAAAACATGTCACATTCTGCAGATTTTTCATTTAACCACTTAAACTTATTTCATACAACATTACGAATTTGGCGAAAACAATATCAGCTCCTTATGTAACGAGTATCCTGAATAAACCTTTACAAGAGCAGTATTTTTGTTTATGGGGCTAAGTTTGCTGTGACATGCAGCCGCAGCAGGACTGAAAAGAAGCCAAAAGCAGTTTATTGTCACTTTTATTATCACAATAAAAAAAATACCACAAAATATAATCAAATTTTAAAATCCAGGCCACTCAGCCCTGACTTTTACCACCTTACCTTTGCTTTTAAAACAGGAAGTCATGTTTATAGTGCTCCCTCTCTCACACACAGTGTGACATCAGCCCTGCAACCGCTCATGGCAGGAAGACTACAATGTTTTTGGAGCAGTGCTACAAATGATTGTGAAACTGAGTCTTCCTCTTAAAGATTTAAAAAGCTGGAACTGACTTCGAAACATCCGCTAGGCGAGTGGTGCAAAAACTATTTCGTCCAGCAGTTTATACTCGGCATGTCACAGAGAACTGCAGGGAAAATGCTAAAATACAGCGACATGGTTACAACACAGATCCTCCTGTTATCTGCGTTTGCAATGTGGTTTAGCGATGAGTCCAATCTGCTAATAACATGTCTATGATCCCATCAGCCTCCTCTGAGGATTTCTGATTCATTGTGTCCAATCACAAAGGCCTGGACTGAAACGGTTAAACAATAACAGGGTGAAAAAAGCCCAATCGTGACCAAAGTGCTCACAGGACTGATAACGTGTCTGGTGTTTGTCTCCAAGATTAATCAGGCCATGACAACAGCTGTGTAGTGCCTGGTTAAAATATCTCCTTACAATTTGTGATCAAAGAAACACCTAGAAAACTCTGTACATTTTATTGCTGGTTTATTTTGAAAACTATGCTTCCATTTTCTTCCATCTCGTACTGATCTCTTACTTTACGTTTACGTTTCTTATACAATTCCAATAAATTCATTTTAAAAAAAAAGTCTTATAATATGACAAAATGTGAAAAATTGAAATGTGAATCTTTCAGTGTCTAGCGATTCGATTCGGATATTTAGGGTCACGATTCGATGACAACGATTTTTGATTCTTAAAGTTTTTGATCCAGAAACGACTTTTAATTCAGAAACCATTTTTTATTTTCCAACAGTCGAGAGATTCTGTTTCTTCTCCTCTTGCCTTTGACTGACAAGAGGAAAAGACGATGTAAACAAACAGAACATTAATTTAAAACTATTTTATAAAGCTCCATGATGTATCAAATTCCATCAGTAATTTAAATTACCAGTACGAGGTTAACTTAGCCGTCAGTTTTTCTTAAATAATAATTAAAAAAACTATCGATGAAATATTCAAAATATAATTTTACAAAAAATTAGGAGGACAAAACAAATCGATTTTTGAGTGTTTTGAATGAATTCAGAATTCCCATTAGATGGAAACGTGATTCTCTATAGAATCAGATTCTTTATGCGAATCTGGTGAAAAAGCAGTTTGCAGACTTTACATTAACCTGTAAACAGATTCAGAAATGGAAGCAGGAACGACCTAAACTGAGGCTGGAAAACACAACAGCTTATATATATATATATATATATATAAAAAAAAACTGCACTCTGCAGCGAGAGCATGAGGAAACACACGAGTGACTCACAAGAGGATGATCTTGCGGTTGATGTCGGGTCTGAAAGGGAAGGGCGAGGGAAAGGCCTCGTGGACGAGCGGGCCGTCCCCCTGGTCCAGCGGCGTCTCCTTGGTTTCCTCACTCAGCTGCTGTTGCCACACCGGAAGGGACTGGATATCCACAAACTGGGAGCGAGCCCCCAGAGGATCCATCCCACCCCCCACTGACCGGCGCTGGAAGCTCGGACGGCGTCTCCGGACAGAGGAGCTGCGAAGCACATGGAGCCGTTCTCACCAAAGTGCTAAACATGCCGCTCAGTGACTTATGATCTACATGTCCGTTTTGTTCAACATCAAAGTCCATTAAAATAAGTCTTAAATCATTTATCTTAAAATTTGACATGAGTGGGGGAAAATGTTCGTTTATTAAAGTGATAAAAGAGTAGCTTGAAGCAATTGGAAGAACATGCTCTGGTGTGTCAAGACAAAAAATTTAAAAAATTAAAAACAGTCATGCTGTGGGGTCGATTCTCTGGGTACTCCGGCTTCCTCCCACAGTCCAAAAACATGGCTGCTGGGTTGACTGGTCTCACTTTAACACACTACAAATGATTTGTGTCTGAGGTGGAAGTTCACCATTTATCTGAAAAACAACCCGAGCATAAAACCCTACTGAGAATCTTTGGACTGGAAAATAGATTTTAAAGAATCGCTCCTTCCAGCCTGACGGAGCTTGAGCTGTTATGCAAGAAGAATGGAGACAAACGAGACGAGTAATTCTGGGATGGACACACCCATAAAGATCCGGGAAGGCTGAACACGAAAGTATTCGACTATTTTTTTGGATTTTAGTTGCAATACTTGTTGAAAAGCACCGATTTGATACAGATCGTTGCATCCTGAGGGTTAAAAGTTAGCAAATGTGAGAGGATTCAAGAGGCTATGATTACTTTTTTTTTTTTTTTTACTATTATAAGGATTTTTTAATTTAATTTGTATTCTCGACTTTTTATTATTATTTTTGTTTAATTAAATTGTAGTAGTCTTGCGTCTTTTAAAATAGCTAAAATTAGGGAAGATAAGGGTTACAATCGAATTTAATTTGCAAAGTTCCTTTAGAATTACAGCCAATCAAATCTAGGCTAATACAATACCAAGGACATTAGCCAAAAAAAAAACAAAAAAACAAAAACAGCAAAAAAAAAAAAAAAAAAAGAGCAGGAATTTAAACTTCAATTTATCAGATTATAGGTTAATGTCCATTTTCTGTGATATATTTTTGAGAGAGCAGGCGTCGAAGTAAATAAACCAATCAGAACTGTCTCTATTAGTAAAAATTAATAATTAATTAATAACTGTCTCAAAATGCTGTAGTTTACACTTAATTATTCAGAGTTGAAGAGCAATGTTTCTGAAACATTTAGCATTGCTGTCCAGCTGAATCAGCAGACACCTACCTACCGTGTCCACGCTAAAAATATATAATAAAAATGCATAGAAATATTACACCAATACCTTAAAAGCTCAGGCGGGATTGTTGTTACGTTCAGTCGTCATTTTATTAAAGAAATTGACTCCAACAGCAAGAGAAACTGAGCTAAAAAGTCCCCATGACCATGGTTCACTCACTTAGCAAACATGGTAGTAGCAGAATAACGCTACGACGTACATCGAAGCCGTAGCGTACCAATAACATCCGGTTGGGAAATTTCAAAATAAAAGTGACCAAATAGCAAAGGAGAATCAGTGAGATTGTTTTCATTTTTGTTTTTCGGTCTTTTTTATTTCCCCCGTGAAATTTGTTAGTCAAAATATATTTTCATCTATATGTTGAAAATATATATGTTAAGATATACTTTCAACAAATATATTTTCCATCTGGAAAATATATAGAAAACCAAGCAAGGGTTGTGGGGAAACAGACAAAGATAATCTTGTGTTTTGTAATAAGGCTATTTCCCATACTGCTAAATTATAGTAATATATATTTTCTACAGAAATGTCATATATAACATTTAATTTGATCTTTTGCAGTATTTAGAGGGTTAAGTAAAAATAATAGAACTGTTAAACAAACCATGGACTCAGTTGCAAACTTCAGGCATCATTGCACATATATTATTCTTTTTTTATCACTATGTTGATTAATTAATTGAGTAGTGGTGGGAGAAGTGACTTTAATTGGGTAGCCATCTATCATTCAGCTTCATTATAGTCATGTGTCCAGCATTTGGCTTGACTTTATAGTTTTTATATAATGACTCTTCATATCTGGAGATATTACCAAGCAGATGACTATGAAGAAAGAAGTATGCAGTATGCAGCAAAAGTTTTCTCTTTGTTTTTTCCCCCTGGTACCCCAGGAAAGAAACATAAATTGCATTAAGGAATGGGAGAAGATGAATGTAAGTCAGATTAAGCAAGAAAAAATAAATGTGTCAAAAACAGGGAGAATAAGACATGTACGGCAACGGAGATTAATAAGACATTGCAGGCAGAGAGGATTGACATAAATTTTGTGACAAACTGATAGCTGATCAACGCTGTTTTATTTTGTTCACATTACCAATAAGCTTCCGTTACAGATGGTATTATTTGTCGTATGTTTGACTCGTTTGTTAGTCAGTTGTAAATCAGCTGACTGGTAGACACAAGCACTTCCGTTGTAGTTGTACAGGAATATAATACAACTTTCTGCACATCACAGCTACGAATCCAAGCCAAGAACTACTCACGGATAAAATAAGTCTTCAAAAACTAGCATGCGATAAATATTTACTTTATTTTCTCACAACGGTTACGTCATAAAGTTTGCCCTGGTGTCGCAGGCAAAAGCAAAAGATCGAGAACCATAAAAGTACAGACGAATACGGCAACTTCTGCATCAAAGTATGTCTGGAATCACCAGTCCTCGTGTACTGCAATATCTGTGTGTAGTTACTGTACCAGATAAGAAAAGGAGTGATTCCTAAAAATCAGAATTTAGAGGTTTTTAAATCGATCTGCGATAGATGTATTAGGTCTGACTCAGAAACAGCGGGTCGAGGAAGAAAACACAAGCTAGCAGCTCTACGTCGCATTTCAGAGGTAAGAGCACAGACTGACACCTCATAAAAGTACTGTAGCGAGATATGAATGTTGTCTGAGGCTTTAAGATACATAATTTTACTTTTCTGTTGTTTCTAATAAGCTCATTTAAACTGAAACACAGCCACGTGCGTACAGAAGCGCAGACGCCTCCGTAAGGGTGCACTCGATTTATTGTACTCTACGCATTTGAGCGAGCGGAGTTTAACGGGCCTTTGGTTGTTTCAAGCAAGGAAAAGGTCAAACTCCACACATACGGTGTGTCCGATGAAACAAAACAAGCCTCCACCCATACGATGGCAACTAAAATAATGTACAGAAATGTACTTAAAAAAATAAATATATGAAAGCAGGAAAAGCCTGAACTGTGTATCCCGAATCTAAAGCATGAAACGCTCAGTGGAGAAATAGTTTCCACAGACAGGATTCAACACGTGAAGCAAACACGTGTGGTTTACATTTGGGAGTTTGAACGTTTACGTTGTGGGTTTATTATATTAAAAGCAACCATAGGGCTCCTAAAACAAGTTAGTGCTGGTTTAATTGCAAAATAAAAACATTTGAAATGATTCCAGCCAATTTAGAAAATTGTTAAATTGTTTAAAATAAGTATTCAGACCCCTTGAAGGTTTTCTAACTTGCCCATAGCACAGCATCATGTTGCCACCATCAGGTTTCACAGTACAACCTAAATAAACTTCATTGTGCGTTTTGGGGATTTTAAACTAACACAGAGTTTTGAATTCTTATTTAATGAATGATAAATGGTTTTTACCTTCTTTTTTTTTTTTTTTTGCCAAAAAGTTATCTGAAAAGTGTGGCATGTTTTTGTAATGGCCTGTCAGTTTAATGGGGTGGCCATCTTTCTGTCAGTTTGCCATAGCTTTCCTTTTTTTTTTTTTTTTAAACGACGGATTAAACAGTGCTCTATTCTTGAGTTTCTTCTTAGTTTTAGTTGAAATCCTACTCATGTGTTAGAACATTAACATTACCCATCTTTGAATCCCATGCTGATCTCACCGAGTCGTTGTCTTTGGACTGTGAGTAAATAAAGATTCCTGTGTTGCTGTGCTGCAGGATCCAGCACCGTCTCTGGCTGCTGGTCATGGGTTTGACCAAACAGTACCTGCGCTACGCTGCCAGCGCCGTGTTCGGCGTCATCGGCAGCCAGCGGGCCAACATCGCCTACGTTACTCTTCGTGGCGGGGAAAAGGGCCGCTACGTTGCCGTGGCCGCGTGCGAACATGTCTTCATCTGGGACGTTCGAAAAGGAGAAAAGGTGAGAGTTCAGGATGGTGGCTCGGCTCGGCCCAGCTGTGACAAATTGTCCGCAGCTGACTCAGTCAAAATTTGCCGTCTTTCTTGTCCAGGTCCTGATCCTGCAGGGCCAGAAGCACGAGGTGAGCTTCCTCTGCCCGTCTCCGGACGGCGTTCACGTCGCCGTGGGTTACGAGGATGGCATGGTGCGGATCTTCAACCTGCTGAGCGGAGAGAGCAACGTTTCCTTCAACGGACACAAGTCCGGTGTCACGGCAATGAATTACGACTCTCTGGGCGCGCGGCTCGTCACCGGCTCCAAGGTAACGTTGACACGACTGGCACCAGAAAGCTACAGTGGAGTCACACACTTGACACTTTGAGTCTCATTTTGCCAAATTTCATGGTAACTTAACATGATGGGTCATGTGTGTGACAAAGACTGGGCGGAGGTGCCGGAGCTACACTGACTTGTTTTTATTTGATCTAGTGATATTTGCATGTAAATTTTTTTTTTGCACCGTCACGGCAAAAATAAAAGCAGATTACAATTAATCAATTAAAGAAGAAGTTTCTTTAATTGATGCTAAATCAATGTAAAGTGTATTTTATATAAATATACATGTATAAATACGTCCTAGATTTGCGCACGAATGCTTAGGCCTGTCCCATTAACAAATGTTGCTGTACGATCAGTTGTCCCAAAAGTTCTTGTGATAAACGATATTGTTGTTTTGAGACGATTTTCAAGTGATATAATGGTAATAATGGAATAATAATGCAAGAACACGTTCTCAAAAATCAATAAACATTACATTTGTAATAAACATTTAGCTCTGGAACCGGAAGACATTTGAAATATCCAAAATAAATAAACAAAACAACAGAAACAACAAATGAAATGAATGATAAAGTCTCTGTAATAATCATAATCAGCTTGAAATGAACTGAAATCTCATGAAATGTTAAAATTCACTCTCATTTGAAAAACCAACAACCGCCACCTCCTGCCTGTGAAGCGCGCTACTGTTCGCTGTGCTGCTTTCAGGAGGGAAGCAAAGCTGGAGAGGTCTGTCCAAAGTAGAGGGAGAGAAAAGGCAAAAGAAAGATACATAAGGAAGGTTAAGTTGAATATATTTTAGTTCAGGCCTATTAAAATGACCTTAATGTCATTATGGTACTCAGTCAGCAGCCCTCTTCCCCATCCAGTGAAAGAAAATAAATGTAAAAATCTTCTGCTAGATTTGAAGCTGCTATTCACAGAAGTCGACATTCAGAGCTGTGTCGTTATACTTCCACTTCCCAGGCACTTTGTGTTGGTCTGTCCCATAAAGTCCTAATGAAACTGTGGTTGTAACGCGACGACATGTGAAGAAGTTCAAGAAGAGCGAAGACTTTCTCAAGTCACAGCTTTTGTCTCGCTTCAAGGTCGAATTCTGGTTCTCGCCGATTGGTTGCAGCTTTTCTCTCTGCTTCCCGTTTGCCTCTTCAGGACACAGACGTGATCGTGTGGGACATCATCAACGAGTGTGGACTGTACCGGCTGAGGGGACACAAGGACATCATCACGCAGGCCTTGTTCCTCAAAGACAAGAACCTCCTGGTCTCAAGGTAACGGCCATTAGCTGCTGCGGCTGCCGGTGGAACAAAATGTCTTCCTTCGGTCGCTCTGTGCTTCAACAACTGTTGGAGTTTGTTCTGTAAACGTATAAAAGTCTTATTGACTTTGTCCAGTTAGAATGAGAGTTATCAAAAATGAAATCCATATTAAAAGAAATGGATTCTTTAGAATAGAAAAAAGAAATAAATGTTATTCTCCCTCAGGGGCAATATGGTAACTGTTTTATTTTATTACGATTACGATAGAAGTAATGATAGAGAAATGTACTTTTTGCTTCTTTACAGTCTTTCTTTGGTAGCTGTATTCAATCCAAGGTTTATTTTAAGCCTGGTGGGCCACCAGGCTTTACTTACGACCCCACCAGGCTAAGCATCGTTTATTTCTTCTTTTTTTTTATGTTTGCCTTTTCTAAGATTTTATAGTTGCCATTTGGGTTTTGTTAATAAGACATTTACAAATAATTAGTCATATTTTCAAATTTCCTGTCAATTTTAAATATTTTTTAACTCAAAAACACGGTAGCCTGCTGGATGGCTGTCCTAGCGCCCCTACCACCAGGTTTTCTGGGGAAACCCTGTAATAGTTTTAAGTAGTTTCTAAATCATCGTTGATTGAAATGTGTCAGTTTATAATGATAAAATCAAAACTCTTAGAAGGAATTTTTCACAATAAGGATAAACAATTAGATAAATACTCATCCCTGCTGTGCAGTTCTTACAAACAGAATGCAAAGAAATGTGTAACTGAGACGAGTGATTAAAAAGATAAACGTGCAACATGTGGATATATATTTTGGGATAAAGAATTCCCACTTGTGTCGGATACAAGCTGAGCTTTTCTTCTGTCTGGGCTTCACTGTCCAGTGAAATAAGTAGTAATGATGTTAGAAAGTAGTGAAGGAGTGCGGCCGTGTTTGTCAAACTGTGTTTCTGTGCTGCCGTCCAGCTCCAAGGACAGCTTTGTGAAGTGGTGGGATCTGGACACGCAGCACTGCTTTAAGACCATGGTGGGCCATCGCAGCGAGGTGAGCATCCAGTGTTTCAACTTTAATATAACTTTCATTATACAAGAGGGACAAGAAAAGATTGTGTTAACAGAAATTAGTCGATGGTACATTTTTCCCGAGCGTAACGGTGTGGACTTCCTCTCAGGTGTGGGGAATGGTTCTGTTGGACCGGGACAACAGGCTGCTGACGGGTTCGGCCGACAGCGAGCTCCGCGCCTGGGACATCCGCCGCCTGGAGGAGGTGAGGTTTTCTCCCCTAGAAACGGATCCGAACACAGCCTGAATGTTTGACTCATGAGAAGGAAAAACAGCACTCTGGATCTTCTCTCAGAGCCTCTGCAGCTGTGACGTGTTTTTGGACCCGTCTTCTCTTTGAAGCTGCCACGTTTTAGGCCTTATTTGCTTTCGCCTGCTAGCGGCCCGCATCGGCTCATAACAGAACCAGAAGCGACAGAGCGCCATTTGACAGCTCATTGGCCTCGTTCTTCATCCGCTCATTCCGTCTCTTTACGTCCCGCTTAGGGAAAGGCTGAGGGTGAGCCCAGAGTGAAGAAGGGGAAAACTCTGCTGGAAGATGATGAGGATGATGACGGTAAAGAAGAAGAGGAGGAGGCGGAGACCGTGGAAGAGGTACGGAGGTCAATTTGAGTCGATTTGTCCCAGGAAATTCTTGTCAAATATATTGAAGTTTGTTTGGAGCTTGACAAAAGGAGGAAAATATTCACATATTTACACTCTAATTTGTTCTTAATGTGAAAAAAAAAAACATGCACCGATTCAACATTAATATCTGTATTGGTCCATGTATTGGGAAAAAAGTATATATTGGGAATTGGTCACATTGTGCCCAAGGTCAGATCTACTCAGTCTAATTCTATGTTTTGTGCTCTGAGCGACGTCATGTGTTATTATTATTTATTCGGTTTATTTTTTTACATGTTTGGCCAAAGGTAGTAAACTTGTTGTTTATGTCAGACGTCTTATTATTTATTTTACATTGCATCGTTATAATTTCTCTGATTGAACATATTAAAGGTTTGTTTTTACATGTTTGACCCAGTTTGTGAAGCTGTACTGATACATTTTGTAATTCAGCACTTTTATGTCTGTGTTAAAAGAAAAATGAGAAAGAAACAAATGTTTTCAGTCAGTTCAGCTCTGTTTTTCTGTATCGGATCGATATCGGCCGATACTCGGATATCGGAAGTGAAAATGCTGGATCGGTGCATTCCTAGTTAAATATGTGAAAGCGAGTCCATCTGATGGTTTCGGATACCTAAATGTTCCCGTGTTTAAACACAGGAGGTTGTTGTTTGTGTGCCTGTAACTGGGCCGTCTTGCTCTGGTTTCCTCTTCAGCGCATCCTGAGCTGTCAGAAGGCCGGCTCCATCCTGAGAGAAGCCAGAGATCGGGTCGTTTCGCTGACAGCAGACTCCAAGGCCAGAGTCATCGCCTGCCACGTGAGTAAAGGATTCTCTGGATGCTCCTTCAGTCCCTAAAGTGTCTGTAAGCTGTTTGCTTTCCTCCTAATGGACACATTATGTTCTTTCTTTTTTTTAACAATTTGATCCTCTGTTCTCTGGTTTTAATAAAATGTTGCCCTCTTCTTAACGATGTCTTTTATTTGATTTTACATGATATTATTTGATTTCAATCACATCCCAGTCAGGAAAGGTGTGAAAGAAGGAATGATAAAGATTTCTACTTCCATGCAGACTTGTCCCCTACATCCCTTCTTTCATTTCTCTCTTTTGATCTTTTCATTTCTTCCTACTCTCTGTTTCTTTCTCCCCTTCTTCATTGAGCCCATCTGTCTTTCCTTCCTTTTATTTTGTCCTGTCCTTGTGTCCTTCCTCTTTTACAGACTTTTTGTTTCATTCTGTCCTTCCTTTCTTCCCTCCATCCACCCTCTCTCTTTGATCTTCCTTTCTTTCTTCGGTCCTTCCCTTTCTTGTGACATTTTTCTCCTTCATTTCTCTCTTTGCTACTTTCCATCTTGTCTTTTTTCCTTTTAATCTTTTTTTCTTCCCATATTTCTTCTTTTCATCTTTCCTCCTTTTCATCTTTCTTTTCTTTTTTCCTTTCTTCTTTTCACATATCTTCCTTCCTTCTGTCCTCCCTTTCTTCTCTTCATATCCTTCCTCCCTTGTTCTTTTGCCTGCTGTCGAGGTATTTTTACTCTTTACCATTTTATTTATTAGAATGTAACCGTCTGGTAGCTCTGGAAAGTTTAGTTCACCAGAGGCGAACGGCCCTCTGGTGTGTTTCCGGTTTACATTTTCTGTCTCTCCCTTCTGGACCAGGGAAACGATGCGGTACTGGAAGTGTTCACGGTGCTGTCTGAGGAGGAAGTGCAGAGAAAAATGAACAAGAAGCTGAAGAAAGCCAAGAAGAAAGCAGCCAAGTGAGCTCAAATCAGACATGCTGCTGTGAATGGCTGACATGTTTTCATACCATCAGTTTAATTTCAGACATCCTGTTTGTACTTGGGATAAAGCAAACACTCTTAATAAATATGTGTAAGTTTAACGTCAGAAGACTGGAACTCAGATGATGCTGATGGATTAATTTTAGACTTTAACATTACGTCTAAGGTATTGTTTAGGTTGCAGCCTTCCTCCCCCTCATGGACAAGCAGGTATAGAAAATGAATAGATTTCAATACACTGGGGCAAACCCTGAATATAATAATAAAATAAAATAATGGATAGATTTAAATAAACAAGTGTCCGGCCAAAAAGGAGTTCCAGACTTGTGCAGCTTTTACAATAAATGCAGACTAACCCAAATAATTTTTCAGTGAGCATCAACAATGTGTATAAATTGCAGTAACAAGGTGTGAATGCTACAATTAAAACATACGGGTGGAATCTGAAGGGGTAAACAACAGGGATGTGAGGATGGATCCCTGAGGAACACCTGTACTAGAGATAATTCACACATTTCTGACAGACGGTCATGGGCTGACCTGTCTGACGTATTAAAAAGACGGAGGAATGGATTTAGATACAGAGTTTGGTATTTTATTGTTGGGAAACTGGATACTTTGTCTTGTGGCCTCTTTTTACCTTCTATAATACAGTTTAACCAAAAATAACATTAATGTACAAGTGGTTAAAGGGTTTATTATTAAAGTTGTGTACTTTGTTCTACTTTCACCGACCTTCCATCTTTTTATTTGCTCTCAAGCTGCTGCCAGTTTCTGTGAGTTTGGTGGTTTTGATGTGACGATCAGATGCTGATTGTTGGTGTGCTGCTGCCCCCTGCTGCAGAACGCAGGAAGGTGCAGGCGATCAGACGGCAGAGCCGGTGGTGGAGAGAACGCTGAAGGACGAGATCATTAGGCTGACGAACATCAAGGCTTCTGCGAAGATCAGGTGAGACACAGAGAGAGGAGACGATGACGATCGCAGCGTTTAGACTAGATTTATTGCTACAGTTTCTTCCGTGTTTTCTCCTCAGGTGGGCGGACGTCCTGTCGTGTGCAGGCGGAGAGCTGAAGGTGGCGCTGCTGCTTCAGAACAACACCGTCGAGACCTACAGCCTGAAGACCTCCGACAAGAACCCGGCGGCCAATAAGACGTCCCGGCTCACGCTGGGCGGCCACCGCACCGACGTCCGCACGCTGGCCTTCAGCTCCGACAACCTGGCCGTCCTGTCGGCCTCCGGAGACACGGTCAAAGTCTGGAACAGGTGACGGCGCCGACCGGAAAGCAAAACCCGGGAACTAGTTCTCATCTCTATGGGATCGGTCTTCTAACTGGAGGAGGACTATCATCTTCTTAAAATTGTGTTAATTGTCAGAATAATCAATTAATCAGTTTAAAAAGAAAAAAGTCAAATTGATGAATCATCAGAATAGTTGATTAAACGTCACGTTATTCAGATTGTTGATTTAGCGTCTTAAGCTTTTTGTGTTTTTTAAGGGATACATTGATATGAAAACTTGGGCAGATATTGATATCTAATATTAATATTGCTATTACAGCCGATAACAATATTTACCAATATTATATGTACATATTACATATATATATTATCTAGCGTTTCAACACCTTTGAAAAAAGAAAGACCAGAAACAGACGGCAACAAGATGATCAGTTGTTCATATCGGCCCAGTTTGACTGATTGAAAAAATGACTACTGGCCGATACCGACAGTATTGACGATATATTGTGCATCCCTACCTTTTTTATATCAGAAATACATTAAGAGAGGATTTTTTTTTTAAGCAAATGGACTTTTTCTGAGTCTGTATACTGAAGTGATTAATCGATTACTAAATTAGTTGACGATTATTTCACTAATCAATCAATCGCGATTAGTCCGATTAATCGTTTCTGCCCTAAACTGGAGGTTCTTGTGCGTGTCACAGGTCCACTCTGCAGGTGATTCGCACCATGGCGTGTGAGTACGCGCTCTGCTCGCTCTTTGTGCCCGGAGACAGACAGATAATCCTGGGAACGAAGGTATTTGGACTCCATGTGGGTCGTGGCCAGCGTCAACTCCTCCCCAAAGTTCCTCCCTTTCCTTCAACTCTGCGATTCTGCTCCTGTTCTGTCAGAGTGGGAAGCTGCAGATCTTTGAGCTGGCCTCAGGAAGCCTTCTGGAAACGGTGGACGCCCACAGTGGAGCTGTGTGGTCACTGTGCGTGGCACCGGATCAGGTAAACCGGACCGCCGGGAGAACTCTGGGACGGGCTCCACCGTGAGAGTCCGGATTGCTTGATAGTGAATTACTATAATTTGGGTTTTGTGTGTGTCGTGCAGAGGGGAATTATCTCCGGAAGCGCTGATAAGACGGTGAAGTTCTGGGAGTTTGAGCTCGTCAGAGACAAAGAGACGGACCAGAAGTGAGTTCAGTGTTGAATAACAACACATCATCAACACACTTTAAGGGATGTGGTGCTATTATACTTCATTTTTATTTTATTTTATTTTTTTAAGGATGCACTTCACCAGGTCACTTCTGCACATGCTCACTTACCAATAAGTTACCCCATTGTTGGCAATTTTTTATTATTATTTTTGGTCAAAAAATAAATAAATAAATAAATTGTTTTCGGCCAAACTTGCAATCAGCAGATTAGGCTCTTTTTTTTGTAAATTGGTGCATAAAAACTAATTATTACATACGAGCAAACAGAGGTACTGACCTACAAAGTAACCAATTAGATACAAGAACAAACAACAATAAGATAAAGCGGTACAAATTAAACTGGATACATTTAAGACAAAACCCAGAACATAACCAAGTGGTGTCACTAAATAGATCGTTTTTTTTACTTTTAATCTTGGATTGTTTTTGTTATTTTTCTTTTTTTCTAATATTTAATGTTTTATTTATTCTAGGTGAGAAAGTGGGAAAGAGAGGAGAACAAACATGTCAGATCAAAGAATAAATAAATAGTGATCTTAGTCTTTTGTACCGATTGCAGTTTTTCAGCCGATGGATTTTTAAAGACCGTGATCAGCCAGAAAAAAATTTGTTTTTGTTTTTGTTTAGTTTCTCCATAACGGCTCTTCCACATCATCACATTTCCCCTCCTCATATTACCTGATTAAATCTCTGATTTTTCTGTAATTCTTTGGCAGGCGGCTGACGGTGAAACACACTCGCACGCTGCAGCTGGACGAAGACGTTCTGTGTGTGAAGTTTTCTCCTGACCACAGACTGCTGGCCGTCTCTTTGTTGGACTGCACCGTCAAGGTCTTCTACACAGACACCCTGAAGGTAAACCTCGCTTATTCATGAGGGATCAACGAGCGTTTGATACGCCGCATATCTGAGGACATTTTAACCAACCAACCCGCCTGTTGTCCTTGTTTGGCTTTCAGTTCTTCTTGTCCCTGTATGGACACAAGCTGCCGGTCCTTTGTTTGGACATCACACATGTGAGTGGCTCAGGCTGCAGAAGTATCAGTTCTGTGAATTTGAAAGCAATCTGTTTTCATTGTTGTTTAATGGATTGGGTGATTATATCTAACCTGCACTAGAGAAGAAGTAAGTAATGTTTCCTGATAAACCTAATGCAGCTCAGTAAAACTCTATTGTCAATATTCAGACCAGTTAGGTCTGTTGTGATAAACTCTGCTGGGTGATAAATTATCCCAGTAATTATTGCGATAAACGACAATATTGTTATGAGACCATTTCCAGGTAGTACATCAATAATGGCAATAATAATGCCAGTGCGCCTCCTCAGAGACCCGATAAACTTGAATTTTAGGATGAACACTTACCACTGGAACTACGACAAATACTAAATATCCAAAATAAAACACAACGAAAAATGAGAAATAAAACAGAAATGGAGAACACACAACCAGAACCATGAATGAAATGGATTATGAAGTCTCTCTAAACCAAATTACCCTTAAAAATATTAATAATCTGGGTGGAAATGATCAAAATCATTTTAATTTATCGTCCTGTTAATTGGTTGAGTGCTTATTGCGACAGGCTTAACCTCCGTCAGAGGGTGGCGCTATAAAGAAAGTAAAGAAAGCACCAACCAGATATTAAGTTAAAGATCTAACAGAATAAAAATCCAAAGGTAATAAAACGTAAAATCCCAAATCGCTCCAGATGGTGAAAATTCTGGCAAACTCTCAGCCAATCATCAAAAAGCTTTTAACGCAAGAACACAACTAACGTTCAGTTTGATCTGTTCCTGCTTTCGTTGCCGGACTCTTGACTCTGCTTTCTTTAACTAGGACAGCGCTCTGATCGCCACCGGCTCTGCAGACAGGAATGTAAAGATCTGGGGTCTGGATTTCGGCGACTGCCACAGATCTTTGTTCGCTCATGACGACAGGTACAGACCGACACGCGCAGTAAGAAATCTAGCGCACGTTCACTGGAGCAGCGGCGCTCTTTCTTCTCACCACATCTCGATCGTCTCGATTTTTCCCGCCTCTAATCGAAGCGTTGCAGATTTCAGAGGTTTGCTCATCTCCATGTCCTCCCTGCTCTCCCCAGTGTCATGTTTCTCCAGTTCGTCCCCAAGACTCATTTGTTCTTCACCGCCGGGAAGGACAAGAAGATCAAGCAGTGGGACGCTGACAAGTTTGAGCTCATTCAGACCCTGGAGGTGACTGTTCTCCGCTCACGGCCCCTCCGCTCACGGCCCCGACTCTGACCTGCTCTGTCTGGGTTTCAGGGTCACCATCGGGAGGTCTGGTGTCTGGCCATCAGCCCCAACGGAGATCACCTGGTGTCGTCGTCTCACGACAAGTCCCTGCGTCTGTGGGAGAGGACCAGGGAGCCCATCATCCTGGAAGAGGAGCGGGAGATGGTGAGCTGGGAGCGTCGATGTGGCCTGCCCAGCACTCGGCGTCTCTGCGTCTGTTTTTACGCTCTGTTTGCGTTCGCAGGAGAGAGAAGCTGAATTTGAAGAGAGCATGGCCAAAGGAGACGCACCTGTGGTGAGCGCCACCGTTTTTAAGTTTCCAAACTTGATTTTTTTTTTTTTCATCTCACCTTAGCTAAAATAACTTTATAGCAAGGGATGCTTACAATTAATTGACAATTAATGGTTTATTAGACTAAAACTAGTTTCAATTCATTAACTAACAACTTAGACCTTTTCTTAGCGTTGTAGTTTGGCTGCCACCCAGAAGAGGGCGCCATTGATCATCCTTAAGTGGAGCCAGTTGATACAGAAATAAAGATGGCGGGGCCACACCAGAACGGGAAATACAAACAATCCAAACAGAGTCCAGGATGGGAATCAAAATACACTTTATGCGGTTTTGTTTTGGAATATAAACACTCAACAAATTCCTTAAGTTATCAACTTAGTAGCGCTGACTCAGCCAAAGTGCTGCATGACAGAGCAGCATCAGCATTTCTTTAAAAATGTAACCCTTTATGATATGGAAAGATGGTCGGCCCTCTTGATACAACAGAAAACTCATGTTTTTTAGAAAATGAGTTTAGAAAATTTATCAATAAATCGTCTGTCAATCGATAAATCAACTTTAGATTAACTTATTAATCGATAACTTGCATCCCTAATTTTAGCTTAAGCAGCTCAAAATCCGGTTTTAGTTAATTTAATATTAATCTTAAATAAGTTTCTCTTTTCCTGATGTTCAGTGTAATTTTGCTGCTTACAGAATGTTAATCATGGATGTAGTATCGATTATCTCTCCAGTCAGGTTTCATAAAGAAAGGCCGTTTGTTGCCGTTTGAGGGCAGCGAGCCGTGGATTAACGTTTCTCCGTCTGCAGGTACCAGGAGAGACGGAGGGAGAGGCGGCACCGGCTGGGAAGAAGAGCATCGAGACGGTGAAAGCTGTAAGTCGCCTTCTGCTCCGTTAGCATCTCTGAAGCTAAACGGGGACGGTAACCATGGGCCACTTTCCTGCAGGCGGAGCGAATCATGGAGGCTCTGGAGCTTTACCGAGAAGAAACCAGGAAGTCGGAGGAGCACAAGTATTTCTGTGAGAAAGCTGGGAAAGAGGTAAGAACGTGTTTCCTCCTTTCTGCGTCAGATGCTCACATATCCTGTTCCAGAACGGCTGAGCCGAGTTAGGACTGATACTAAAAACATCTGAATGGCCTGTTTTTCAGTTGCCTCCTCCTAAACCCAACCCTATCCTCGTTGCCTTTGGAAACGTTACAGTAAGTCAGTTTCTAAACGTAAAAGGAAAAACAAACATTTATGCGGTTTGTAACCTTGATGTCTCACTCTTTCCTCTCTTGCAGCCGTCCCGCTACGTTTTAGACGTCATAAGAAAAGTCAGATCCAGGTAAAAAAATATGAACAGAACCATTCCTCTCTCTTTTTCTGTACATTTAGAAACACTCTGTGTATTATTATTTTTCCTTCTGTGGTGATCACCAGTGAGCTGGAGATTTCTCTGCTGGTGCTGCCGTTTCCTTACGTCCCTGAGCTGCTGAAGCTCTTCAGCTCCTACATCCAGCAGGGCCTGGAGGTGGAGCTCGTCTGCCGCTGCCTGTTCTTCCTTCTCAAGTAAGACCGAGCTGTTTGACCGAGAAAACAACAACCGATGCGTCGATTTGTTCGTTGACATTTCATCATCTTGCTGATTTTACATGTAGTTTAATTTTGAGTATTCTTCTTGTTTTGTTGTAATTACTAACTTTATCTACACAGCAGATCCAGTTACTGATAGACATGTTTGCTGAGAGACATTCTTGGAATCACTTAAAACGTTCTTCATTACAGCTCAACAAGCTTTCTGAAGGTCTTTAAGCTTTTCTTTAATTACTTATTTTTAGGTATCCAAGGACAATATACGAAAAAAGCAATAAAACAGAAGAATGCAAAATGTTGACGTTCCTAAGACATGGTTTTATAACTTAACTTTTTCTATAACTTTCTTTGTGAAATTGAGTGATTTATTTCACAATGAATTACTTTATTGTGAAATAATTCTGGAAACAGAATTTTTCTGTTTCCATCAATCTTTTCAAACGTGATTCTTTGAAATGCACTTTAAAAAATATAGATGAAAACACTCCTACAGAGACAGAATCTTTTTACATTTGTTCGATCAAATCCACATATTACCCCAACTTTGCAATATTCCACATTTTCATATGAATATTTCTGAATTTTTGTTTTAATTGTAACTGCAGCTACGGTGGATTGTTTGCTTTCAGGATCCATTTTGGTCAGATCACCAGTAACCAGATGTTGGTGTCCGTCATCGACGAGCTGAAGACCAATACGCTCTCCAAAGTCTGCCAAATCAGAGTAAGTTATCATCTGCGTAGAAACAAACAAATCATCTTCGTACAAACCTGAATGGATTTCAGGTTTGTAATGGGTAATGAAGGGTTTCCAGAAACTATAAAATCAGTCATTGAAGTCTGAATTTAAAGTTTTCAGCTTTTCTAACTCAAAAAAGATCCTTATATCTCATAACCTTAAAGTTGATGGCAGATTATCATTTTACAACTACAATATAATTCAACATATCGTCTGCATAGAGAGCAAGGCGGTTGGTTTTCATCAGCAGTGTTTTTTTCTGCAACATGTCTGATTTTCTAATTCTGTTGCTTTAGGATGTGCTGGGCTTCAACAGCGCCGCCCTCCAGTTCCTCCAACGGGAGATCGAGAGCAAAGAGGACGTGATGTTCTTCGCCGATGCCACGGGCCAGCTGGAGGAGAAGAAGAAGAGGAGGAGGAAGAGGGAGCGCGCTGTTCTGACTATCGCTTAAATTAAAGAACGTTTTTGGTGTTTTGATACAAATTTCCTTCCAGCTTTAATTCAGGCTCGGACCAGGTGTATTAGTTTTATATGTTGTGAAACCCTGACAGGATGTAGCTCAGTGGTAAGCAGTGACATGCTTTATTCCCCAAATAAACAGAGTCTGAAGTTTTCTCACACAGCATCGTTTGTAACAAGTAAATCCTGTGTGGCTGAGCGAGCCATCCGTGTGCACACTGCAGCCGCTATAAAACGCAGTAATGTGCGGTCAGGTTTTTAATGGATCCATGTCATGTTTAAAGCCGCGCTGCGTTCGTGATCACCACGCACAGAGGACACGTTTGATTTAGGCTGGTTCCGCTTCACAAGCCTACAGGGAGGCGTTCAGGTCCCGTCAGACGGTCTGGGATGTGGCAGCAGTTTAGGAGGCTGTCGACGGTCCTGAGGTTCAGCTGAGTCAATAACTTTCAAGTTTATTTCAGCAATTCATTTTTTAAAAGGGAAACTCAAATATGGATTCATTACATACACTGATTCACTGTAAAGGCGACTTACTATGCTTTCTTGACAGGTCAGGATACAATATATAGCTGTACAAAACATGTCCATTGCCTTTTTTTTTTTTGGACAAAATTATTCTTGGATGAGGCTTTAGTTTAGTCAGTTCTGCCTATTTTCTATTTTGAGCTTTCAGAATGATCTGTTTTAAGACCTCCAAGCTGCTGCTTGCTACGTTCCCCATCACATCTACACTTGCATTTGCAATTATACAGCTGTACAGCTTTGAAAAGCAGAAGTAGAGCCTCCCGTACAACCATCAGGAATGCAGCAAGTGGTTTCTGGATAGTAAGTCAACAACCAAATACTTGTCTTTTTCCAGCAGCCGTTGTACAGCTCATACAGCGTTAAAACCAGCTTAATAAAGTCCGGTCCCAAAACTCACATTTCCACAATACATTACTGCATGTGACGTTTTGAATTAAAAGGAGAAATGCCTTTGTTTTTGTCTTTATTGAAAATTTTAAGAAAATGGTACAAGGCACACATCAGTAACAAAAGTTTGACATGATAAACTGTGCAGAAAAAAGGATAAATGAAAAAAATAGTTACACTAAATGTGTGGTAAATAAAACAGAAAATGTTGCAAAATTTGAGAGGATACAAATTTTAAGCTATCAGCGTATTAGTATTAACATTGGGCTTTTGTGTTGCAATATTTAAGCACTTCGTTAAATAAAAGTGTCTCACTTAAATATTAAAGATGGGGGGTGATTTTTAGTAAACATTTGTGAATTAAAAAAAGGTTAAAGTGTTACCATAAATTGGCTCTTCATCACTTTTTAGAAGACCAAAATTTATTATATCAAACCTTAAAAGAGGAATACATTTCTTACACAAGATCCAGTTTTCCTACGCATAGGAATTGGTATTTATGTTGAAGTTCTTTTGCAGCAAGTCAATGCAATGATAAACTTCATTCATAACTTTGAAATACATTTTTTGTAGGAGTGGAAAAGAAAGATATTTGGTTCTTATTTTTAGAGATACTATAACAAAGTAAAAGTCATGACTTTTACTTTGTGGAAACATTTAAGAGTTCATTTCAATGTTGGATCTCAAAGTGAGAATAAATGCATGTTGCAGTGAGACCAGACCACAATTCTTCCATGATGATGATTAAAACTAGATGATGACTACTTTGTCTCAGAATCTAAGAGTAACTCGATGAAAACAAGAAACAGCAAAGGACAAGATAAAGACAACCAAAGTGACCACAGAAAGTGCAATGCAGGCCTTAAAAACGTTAAAATTCTGATAAGAGAACAGTGGAGCAAAACATGGTCAAAGTCAACTACATCCCTGTTGGACTGACGCATTACATAATCAGTCCACGGAAAAGAATCCATGCTGTACCCTTGATTTTACATACCTGGATGTGAAAACGAACAGCCGTAAAAAGGAAGTCTCCGTTTTTTCATGCAAAATGCACTTTTAATGGGTGCCATGCAGTGTACATGTACACATACAGGTCACATCTGTTTTACTGTGAAACGCATTGGTTCAGTCACACACGTCAATAAAGAAAAGCAGTTCAGGCCAACAAAATACCTGAGCAGAGGTAACTATTACTCCATGTTGAAGCAGACACACGTCGATTTAGCCTGGCAAATAGTAAACTACCGTTTACCTCCTAGAGCTTTTCTAAACAAGAGAAACGGCACTAGTCGTCCTCAATGTTCCAGACCAAAATGTGGAGATGATGAGACGGTCAGACATTTGTTTTGGGTACGTTCCTTTGCTCAACGGGTGTGGTTATTATCGTTACCGTGGTTACAGGTTATTATTTTATACGAAACAATAGCCTATGTGTTGCTGAAGGAAAATTGGGGGAGGAATGATTTTTTTTGTGGTGGATAATTGTTAATTGTGTAAGACGCTCTTTGGAAAGCGAGGAACATCCTGATTTTTATGAAACGTGAAGTAGCAGAAACAACTGTAACAAAGAGTGTGGCTACATTTGTTAAAGATTATTTGTAAAACCTCTGGGTAAACAAAATGTTAATGTGGAAAATACCTGGAAAATTTTACTTTAGACTAAATAGAATTTGTACATCTCAACTGAATGAACGGTTTGTGTATTATGCAATATTTATTTTATCGTTGTAATACTTGTCATTAACCGTCTGCCTCTGATGTAATTTTGCCAAGAACTAATAAAATCTTTGAAAAGTTGAAATTGAGACACCCACTGAACAGTTTACAGCAGGATTAAGATTAATGGGGACCTAATGGATAGAATACAATTAGAAAGGGGCTGCCGCCAAGGCTGCCCCCTCAGCCCCACATTGTTTGCGCTTTTTATCGAGCCTCTAGTGCAGGCCATCAGAGAACGCAAGAATATTATGGGTGTAAATATTAAAGGCACAGAGCACAAGATATGCCTTTACGCTGATGATATCCTCATGACGCTAACTGACCCGGAGACCAGCCTACCTAACCTTTTTTCCCTATAGAAAATATTTGGCATGTACTCTGGGTATAAGTTAAATCTGCAGAAAACACAAACCCTTTCATTCAATTATCAACCATCACTAAGAATTCAGAAGCTGTCCGGATTCTGCTGGGACAATAAATGTATAAAATATCTGGGGGTTAATATCCCTGCAGAGTTATCCGACCTTTTTGAATACAATTATACCCCACTGACAGAAGAGATTAAGGCGGATCTGCAACGTTGGTCGTTGTTAACTATGAATCTATATAATCGCATAGATATAATAAAAATGAACCTTTTACCAAGGCTTCTCTATCTTTTTCAGGCTTTGCCTATAAAAATACCCGACAGACAATTCCACAACTGGGATAGAATAATCTCAAATTATTATAAACAAAAACCCAGAGTAAGATTTCAAACATTATAACTATCAAAGGAAAAGGGTGGTTGGGCGTTACCACACATGGAGGACTATTATAGAGCAGCACAGATGAGAGTGATGGTTGGTTGGTGTGACCCAACATGTGAAACAAAATGGAAAGAGATAGACATGTCTTACACCAACACACCCCTACAATCCTTGCTCGGAGATCGTTATCTCATTTAAAAACACATAGATTCTGACCTAATACCCTTAGGAACAAAGGTACCGTTGGACGTTTGGTATAAAATATCAAAACAAGTACAAATTGAAAGAAATGCCTGTATTTTGAGATGGCCTGCCTCCGATAGAGATTTTCCCCCGTCACGATTCAATGGGCACAAAAAGGCATAACAAGCTATTGGAAAATTACAAATAACGAATTAAAAAGTTTTATACAACTTCAAAATAACTACAACTTGGAAAAACCTGATTTTTATAGGTACCTCCAACTAAGACACCACTACAATAAGACTATAAAGCGCTTGGAGGAGGAAGAGACTTCGAGTAACGGAAGACCCCCTGGAAAAATAATATCCAAACTATATTCATGCCTGCAAATGGGAAGGAAACGTGATACAACATATATCAAGGTAAAATGGGAAAAAGATGCTAAAATATGTAACTCTGTGATTCACACATCAAGTTCAGGCCTTTGGAAGGAATTTACCTGGAAATGTATGGTACGTTTTTTATTACACCGAACATTAGAGGTAAACACTGTAACAACACTGAAAAGGCAAAATGTTGGAGGAACTGTGGGAATGAGTCTGCGGGACATTTTCATATCTTCTGGGAATGTACAGAGATTACACCCTTTTGGCTGGAGGTGATGGGGGAAATCAATGCTAAAATGAACCTGAATCTGCAATATGATGTTGCTGTGGTGCTCCTGGGTGATCTACCCCAGACACTGGAGAAATCGGATAGATATCTGCTCTTGGTACTGTTAGCAGGAGCAAGGAAAGCGATAACCCGCAGGTGGTTGGACCCGGAACCGCCAGCGATCTCGGAATGGAGAGAGATAGTCGGGGAAATCCATACAATGGAGAGACTGACTTTCTCATTAAGACTTGCTACTCACAAATACAACAAATATTGGAAAAAACTGAAACCTCTATAACAAATGATAATTGTTAATAGATGTAATTACCGCTTTTTGTTGATTATTACATGACTGCACCTGTCAAACTGAATGCTCTGCGTTTTGTGTTAAAGGGGGATCTGACTGTTCCAAATGTGTACTGAAAAACCCTAAAAATGATAAAAAAATAAAGTTTAAATAAAAATAAAAAATAAAAAAAAAACACATTTAATTTTATTATTATTAAAAACATCCAAATCCCTGTATTTTCCATGCTTTTTACCATTGATACAGACAGTTTATACGCAAATATTGTTAATGACGAGGGATTCATTTTGTTTTAAACGTTCATTATAAATTTATTCCATTCGTTTCCTATGGACCTTGTGCGACAGTCCAGCAGAGTGAGCAGCGTAATTCACACATGTGAAACTTCGAGCTCGTACACGTAGACCTCAACAAGCGGGCCAAGAAAGTTAAAAATGCTCAACATTCATTGCTGATTGCCGTCAGGAAAACTTTCCATGTATCAAAAATCCTTTTTATGTTTTGGATCTACAATGAATAACACACACAAAAAAAATGTCTGACATTATTTGCTTGATTTTAGATTTGCTTTGTTTTTTTTAATTGTCCAGTGAATACTTTTGACTTGACGATTTTGGTCCATGTGACTAAAAGTTTGGACACCCATGGGCTGATGTGATAACTGCTTAAAGATGCAGATACTTTTCAACATCATCACCATCATCATCATTCTGGGAAAAATGTGTCTCGTAACCTGCATAATTTTATTTAAAAAAATCCAGAACTTAAAATATATCTGTATTTTCACCTGAAACAATCTGCTATAACACTTGGAAATCCAGGAAAGGAGTAGATGTTTAGTGTAGAAGCAATGAGATTATTGCAGTCGTTAATGGAACCATTTCACTAAAAATGTACAGTACTATGATTGTTTTTAAATATGCTGCAAGTTAAGAATCTTTTTCTTGAATTTAGATTATTTTAAAAAATAAAAAGTTACACTGTTTGTATAATACCCAGTATTTCTCATGATTTGGTGCCTAAGAAATGAAAAGCAGCTTGACGGTCCCGCTCTCTCTTTGTTGGACTCTTCTGTGAGTTTTACCTCTCAGATCCTCTGACCTGCTGCTGTTTCACCTCCACTTCCCATCAGAGCTCCACCGTTCTCAGGTGTCCACGAGGGGAAACTGCAGCCAGTATGCTCTGAGGCAAACACTCCGACTTCTCCGCTGTGCTGCCGCAGCAGGACCAGTGGGGCTTCCCTGGGTGTCCCTTGTGGCCGTGACCGCAGCCTTTAAATCCTCCTGCAGAAGGTTTTGAATAATCTAAAACGTGCCTAAATGAAAACCATGCAAGCAATTGTTTATTTTTTTATATGTACCTGGCATGGTTCCTGGGCAGCCACAGCGAGCCTCTTTAGCGCCTCCGCTGGAGCAGAAGGAGCAGCAGTGAAAAGCCCCTTTGTGCTGCCTGAACTTCCTCTGCACATTCAGAATAAATGGGGAACCCTGCAGAAAAGCACATTGAGCAGTTAATTCAGAAATAAACCCAAACTTAACCCGTTTTGTCCCCTGTTGTTGCAGATTTGCCTCAAGGATCTACTGAAAGTGTTTTGCTGCCATCTAGTGGCCAAAACCTTTGCACAGTTATTCCAAGTTTTGCCAGGATGCTACATAAATCTGAATCTTTTACATGTACTGTAGTCAAATTAACAGGAACTTAAACAGCAGAAACACAAATATTACAGCAGAACTTTCTCTGGCTCTGGACTGGTTCAGTACCTTAACATGTTGGGCTCTGACACAGACCCACACTGAGTACTCTCCTGGTTCCTCCGGTCTGTAGGAGACGTTGTAGCTTCCATCACTGTTGTCTACCACTATTGTCTCCATTGTGCTGAAGGGCAAAAATATTTAAAGATCAGAAAATCAGAAAGTTCACTGTAAAATGTACATACATAATTTCAGGGTTTTTTTTTTTTTGCTTTTCTTGAGTATATGTATTTTCCGCACTATAAGGCGCACATAAAAACCTCAATTTCCTAAAAAGCCGACAGTGCGCCTTATAATCCGGTGCGCCTTACATATGGACCAATATTGAGCCACAACAGGTCCAGCAACTACGGTAAGCAGCCGCATACTTCATTTTCGCCCATAGAAGAAGAAGCGCCCGGTGCATGCTGGGATAGTTGTCAGAACGCTGGTTTGTTAATAAAGTTTGACTGACCTAATCAGGTCGTCTGCAGGTCATTTAGCACCACGTTCTCCACCAACATGCTGTGCGTGAACGGAGAAGGGTGACCATCATCCGGCCACGCCCCGGCCCAGTCACGGAAGGCTCTCCTCACCGACCGGAGCCGGACTGTTTTGTTGACATTCCCTTTAGTTCAGCTCCATCTAGTGGATGCATAACACAACTCCAGCCTCTACTGTAGTGTCTATTCGATGTGCCTTATAATCCGGTGCGCCTTATAGTGCGGAAAATACAGTATATGTATTAGGTTAAAGAACAAAACTGCACACAAAGATGCATTTTTCTGACTTATTAACTTACTTTGAATATGGGGCCTTTTAAATTTCATTCACATAGTAATACTGTTTGTATATAATGGATTAAATAATTTATAAAATACACAACTTTATGAAAAGAATTAAAACTGGAAGTTGCTGGATGTCTCATTTTCTTACCCTTTCTGAATCAACAATGGTTGGCGGAGCAGACATGTTTACTCACCAGTTCTTCTTCTCTTTGTGGACGATGCTGACCAGGACGTGTTCTCCTCCTCGAGCCAGCCGCTCCCCACCGGAGTCCCGACACACCAGAGTAAAATGTCCCCGCTGGGCTACCGTTCCCTGCTGCAGACCTGTGACCATGACGGAGTGGAAGGTTAGAAAAATGGCATTACTGAATCGTAGCTGCATGGCATCAGAAAATGCACAAGAGATGTAAAATTTAACGTATTCTTACACAGATTTAAACAATTTCGTCTCAAACAAAACATAGCAACCAACCGACACAACAAAGACAAGATAAAAAGTTAGCTGCTCACCTTCTCCTTCAACGGTGCACCTGCTGACGTCCACCGTCCTGGAGTGGATCATGCCCACCAACGGGTAGCCCTCCACCTCTCCTGCCGGCTCCCTGGGCAGGAAGCAGACACTGCCGCCGTCGTCAGGGGCGACCGTCGCTGGGTGGGGGTCGTACCCGCTCTCCGCCAGGCTGGTCAGTCTCCTCAGGGTCACTCCTTTAGCACTGAGGATCTCAGCGTCGGAGCCACAGCTCAGCAGCCGCTCCGCAAACTCCACGCTCCCTCTGACGTCCAGCAGGGCCTGCTGCAGCTGCGCCCTCTGCAGGTGGAGGTGGTTTCTGGAGGAAGGAAGTGTTTGTGGTAAACCAAATAGCAGGGAACTATAGAGGCATTTTCATTACAGAATCTGCTTTTATTATCTACAACAGTGACTACATTATGATACCTATCTTTATTTATTTTCCATATTTAAAAAAAAAAGATTCTCATCTCCTTCTACAAAATAGCTGTTTTTCTCTTTTTGTAATTTGTTCTAACATTGGAAAATAAAAATAAGTATGAGTAGCTCTTTGAATGGAGATGGTTGCTGACCCCTGACCCTAGGAGCATATCGGAATTGTTTTTATTTCCCTGTCTAAAAACTCATTACAGTTGCAGTAATGTCCTACCTGCGTTGCACCCTGATCTCCTCCAGGCGGCGCAGCAGAGACAAGCAGTGAGCCTCCACCGCACTGGTGTACTCTCGTGCGAAAACTCTAATCTGATTGGCGGTTTCATCTGCTCGAACCTGCAAATTTTCTTGAGAAATTTCCACCTAAAGGAGAACCAGAATGCGAAAAATAAAGAGTTATGTTTTACATTCGAACATGAAAATCTAAATCGGTAGCTTATATTGGATAACAATATATAAATGGGTCTTTTTGGGGACCTTTTGCAGCGAGTCCTCCAGTCGCTCCAGACGAGGCCGAAGGCGCGCGCTGACCAGCTCTCGTATCCGGTCGCCATGACGGTCGATAACGTCGTGTGTCGGACAGCAGCGGTGGTCCCGGTGCAGCGTGGCCGCGCACTCCAGACAGACCGGCAGGTCGCAGGGCTGACAGAAGAGCCTCAGCTCCTGCCCGGGGTGAAGGGAGCAGAGGACGGGGCGGCACAGACGACCGCGGGCTTTCAGCTCCGTCACGGCCTGAATAGAATGAGACGCGGTTCGCTTCTGCCGCCTGCAGGTAGGAGGGAGAACACATCCTTCATGAGTCTTCTTCTTCTTTGTGGGTTTTATGGCGGGCTTAGATGTATTATCGCCATCTAGTGTGCTGGAGTGTGGGCTTGAGTATTTTTCTTATCCATTTAAACTAAATTTTTATAATACCGTTTCCTTTGGAAATTTAATTTATCAAATGTTTAAACACCTTGCTCAATTTTAATGTCTCTGAACTATATTTTCTTAATTCTTGTTTATTTTTTTCTCTACTCGTCCTACATTTTACACAGCAAATTATTATATGCTGTACTGTTTCCATGTCCATACCACGACCACATCTACCTGTTGGATGTTTACCCACCAAATGTAAAGTTTTATTTAATCCTGTATCTCTGAGACGTAACCTTGTCATACTCGTTCCTTTTGGTTCTTCAAAATGTATGGCAAGATAAAAGAAAAAGGTTCTGCTAAACAGCAGAGGTCAAATATGTCAGTGTAGTCACAAAGAACAGGACATTCAGACTGTCCAACAAAGTATTAGGACCATTAGAGATAAAAGGGGAAAAAAGAGATCATGTGAAATTGAGTATGGGGGACAAATTTGAAAAGAAAAAAATGTCTACAGATGTTTTCTACTCAATCTGACTGCTGTTTTCTTTCTTTCTTTGCAAAAAACAAGAGGCAAAAATTTACATCTTTGAAGTCAATAGAGATGAGCCCCAAAATACTCACATCTGTAACTGGTGCAGATGCTGCAAATATAAAGTTTTACAGGCCTAACATTTTACAGTTTTAGTTTTCAAAATATATAAGCTTTAAAGTTTACAATATTACTTGTGTTGGTCTATTCATCCCACTAAAACATTATGGTTTCAGGTAACCTCAAAAAATAAAATAAAGAAAGAGGCATGGATATTTTTTGAAAGGATTTAGAATTATAAGAATTCAAATTTGATTTATTTTTCAGAATAAAGTTTTTAAATTTAGTCCTTTTTTATAGCAAAGCAACACATTGTGTTCTCAAGTGTGTTTAACAATAACTGGTGGAGTTTTGAGCTAAAACCGAGAGAATAAAACAGATTTAGTAACTCTGTCAGACTCCTTGAGAACAGTCCAGAAAGTAGGGCCTACTCCCACCTGTGCGCCTGGCGGCAGAACTCGCACAGGTTCAGGCTGCACACCTCGCAGCGGCTCTCGGCGCTTCCTTCGCCGCACAGGTCGCAGCCCAGCGGGCCGTCGCTCACCAGGGTCTCCAGGAATACCTCGTCCAGCGCCAGGTGGTCTGTGCTGAGTCCGGCCGGTCCGGACCGAGGGATATCCACCTCGGTGTCACACTCTGGGCAGAGCACGGTGAACGAGAGGGAGTCTCGGTCCTGTTCCGCCGCCTCCCCGCTCCTACCTCCGCCCTCCGGTGCGGTGAAGCGGCCCCGCGGAGACGTCGAAAACGGCTCCAGCTGCCCGATGCAGTCGGAGCAGAAGGTGTGCAGGCAGGGCAGGATTTTGGGCTCCCGGTACAAGTGTTTGCACACCCTGCAGACTGCTCTCGGGTTTACAGAAGCACTTTGAGGTTCCGGTTCCGAGCTCACTGTCTGCTTGTCTGCGGTTTCTTTCTGCTCTGACTGGGACATGGTTGGTTTTGGGGGACTTCCTGCGCCAAAATCAGAGCAAAACCCACCGAGTTCAAGCGAGTTGTCAGAGTTTAGAAAAAACTCACCCCGATATCACTGTTGTTCTCTGCAAGTCGCACCGAATAACTGTTTTTCTCACACGAGTCATAAAACTACTTTTACAAACTTTTCTGCCTAATTAAAATCCACTTTTCCTCGGTAAAGTAAGCTGCGTTCAAAGCCGCATGGGACATTTGACACCTCACGAACTAACGGACCAATGGGAAGCTCCTCTCCGCTATTCGGGGAGGTCCATAAACATTCCTGTAGTCTTTACTGCCAAACTGGGACTCAGACAGATTATACTATCAAAATATTTTATAAAAAGTCATAAAATATTTCCAACAGTAATAAGAGAATGCAATATATTAATTAAAGAACAATTTTTTTATATTTGGAAAAGGGACGTGTAAATCATAGTACCTTAAACTTAAAAAGGACTTTTCACATTTGCTTATTTATAGAAAGGATTTTGTTTCGCAACTTCTTTTGGGCTTGATTGAAAAAAAAAAATGGAAATAAAGATATTATTCTCAGCAACAGGAATATCATTTAGGTCAGTCTTTCTTTGAAAACATTTGTGATATTATATCAAGTTTAACAAAGTACAAGCACAACCTGATCCTGTTTATTGTGAAATTAAAGAGAATGTAAAAATGAGATTATTAAAAAAAATAAAATAATACTTTGTGTTCAACTTAACATTTAATACTGGAAGAAGATTTTAATTTGTGGAAATTTTTGCTCTGAAGTCTCTATCTGGCTAAGTTTTTAAAATAATTTTATATGTTGCACATAAAATTACATCACAAACAGTTTAATCCAACTTTTTGTGATGTAATTTCCAGTTTTGTTGCATTTACTTTATTCAAGAATACACAAGGATTTACATAGTTTAATAGGAGAAAAGCTAAAAAAATAAATACACTACGGCAAGAAAAACAGACTTCTAAATCATTTTTCTTGTCATCAGTTACAATACAGGTTAAAAATTATTTACATACATGTAATTGAAACATACACAGGAATTAATTAACCAGCACAATATTCCATGACATATATTACAATAAAAATGGAGAGTTAAACTTTAGTTATCGCTACTTAAATAAACTGCATCTGTTCTTGAATGTACCCAGAATATAGACAATATTTGACAATGTTTTTAAAGCAAAGATAATAAGGCTGTATTTACCTACACCACATAAAACATGCACAGGACAGATGTAATAATATTTAGATAAAACGAAACAAGCTGGGTTGAAGCGACACTGAAGGTGAAGAAGGTCCTTCCCAAAACACCACTGCCTGGAAGACACACAAGATTAGATACTGAATGTAAAATTGTATATTTTGGTCAAGTTGAGAGCAATTTCCAGGTTTTATATTAAATATTTCTGCTACTTTTCACCTGAATTTATCTATTACAGTTATTCAGCGGTCCAAGTGTTGCACAATCCTTATGTTGAAGATCAAGATTCTTACAATAAAGAGAAGATGTTAAAAAACTTTATAAGACATGTGCCACTAATGGAGCACATGTCTTATAAAGACAGGTGTTCAGGTGATAAGTCAATAACATTATATACTGTATAAATCACACAGTTTGGTGAAGTTGATAAGAGTTTTTCACCGTCCAAAATGTGAAGCGAAACAACAAAATATGTGTCGAAGTATTGCTTTTTTGGCGTGACGGTGGATCAGGAGGTACATGTTTGTCCTACAACCACTGGGTTGCTGGTTCAAATCTTGTTCCCTCCATCTCAGCCGTCGTGTTTGTATCTTCACGGTCAAAGGTCGTGGTGGTGCAAATAAAACGAGAATCTCTCTTCTGTCAGTCTGCCTCAGGGCAACAATGTAGCTTAGCATCATCAATGTATGAATGACTGAATGTAGCGTAAAACACTTTGGTTTGCTTGGCACAATGGAAATCCAGGACATTTACCATATATGTTGGGGTTAACAGTATGCTGTATTACATGAGTTTTGTTAATGGTAAATATGATGTAAATTTTCCCTTTGTTCAGTAGTCAAGAGTTCTTGTTATGTCAGTAGAAAGGCATCATAAAGGCTCAACCAAGACTGTACCTGATATAGTTGCTTCGGTGACTGCCACCACTAAGCTGTTTTCGATCCTGCAGCTGTAGGTCTCGCTGACCTTCGCAGACTGTAGAGAGCTCAAGAGACTGTAAATCCCCGGTGAGCGTTCAGTGAAACTTGTGTTTGCGTTCAGTTCATTCCCGGTTTGGTTCAGCCACGTGACGTCTGGTTTAGGAAACCAGCTGCTCGCCTCAGAGGTCAGGATGCTGTTAGAGAACTTTAGTGTCGGCACTGAAAAGACTGCGACAGCAAAGGAACGTATTTATTAAGCACAAGACAATTTTATCAGAAAATGTAATTTAGGGAAACTGAGGGTTTACCTGCTGTCCGGAGCTGAATGCTGACTGTCCCATGGGCGACAGAGGACCGAATGGTGCAGGTGTACTCTCCCTCGTCACTGCTTCTCACGCTCCGCAGCAGCAGAGAGGCGTTACCTATGGCTACAGCGTCAGGGAAGACCTGAGCTCTGCCTTTAAACGCTGACGCTTGCCCATCAAGAGCCGGAGCTCTGTTCTCGTAACGATAAACCGTTCCCAGATCCGTTTTCTCCCAGCTGACCGACACCTCACCCAGCCTGTTTGGTTGACTTTCTGCAGAAACATAGCAGCTGAGAATCTGGTCCTCGCCGAGGTTGGCGACCGGTTTGGTGTTGCTGCTCACCACCTTGGACGTGGATTCTGCAGACGACAATTTGGTCTCAAAATACATATGATGTCTTCTAGCCCAATACTTGAATGTTTTTAAGGAGGAAAAACATTTTAGAAGTACAACTCAACACTAGCTGTCTTTCCATTACGAATATGCGCAAAACTTTGAAGATAGTCCACTAACATTGAAAAAACTTAATTTTGTAATTGCGGTGTTTCCATTTCCATTAAATAAGAGCCGCAACTAAATACGTGAATAAGTTTGTTCACCCGATAAGTCAAAGATTTTGACGGGCCTTCCCACTTCCTATTGTCTTCTTCGTCTTTTCTGCAAGTAAATAAAATCCAGTTGTTGATCCCAGGACTCATGTGATGCGTAAAACATGTTTCCATTACAGTTTTGTGAAATACATTAATTTCTGTACATCTGAAAAACTACCTCATCCTTCACAAAACGCTTTTATTGAAAAACGTGAGTTTGTTTTAATCAAAACTTCCACGTTTCCATTCAGCAAATTTATTTTAAAAATTCCAATTTATGCAATTCTATGGAAACACAGTTACTGTTAATAGTGTAACTTCAACTAGAACAAGCAGTCAAACAGAGGTTTGCATATTAGTACGGCTCTGTGCATAAGGAAACATATGGTTTCATGCTTGGAACGCCTTGTGTCATTCCAGCAGCCACAAGGATCAACTGCTCTTCAGTATAAACAAACAGAACATACTGAACACACCCATTACATGTCTGCCATTGCTAAGCCTGACTGAGTCATCACTACTACTAATAATAATATTAGGGTCTTACTTGAGAAGGCCAGGGTCAAGATGAGGACGATGAAGGCTGCTAACAGGACATTGAGGGTCACCAAGCTACATGTGGAGAGAAACAATCAGGAAACTGGAATGAAACAGGTTTATTCATACATTTACATATGAGAGATGCAAAGTTCCTTGTTTCAGAATATTATTGCTTTTACATCTTTTATTGCTTGATGTTATTTATTGTTACACTGGAAGTCTGATAAATGTCCCTCAGTATCCCAGTGGGTTCATTTTAGAACCTTGAGGAAATTACATGCACTTTATGAGGATGTACAAAAAAGGTTTTACAAAAAAATGTGTCAATATTTTCTTTATTTTTCAAACTTTGAGTTTTTGTTTAAAAAAATATCCACAAAACTAGTACATACTATCACTTATTTGATACACTGTTTTGTCAGTATTATGGTAAGGTGTATATATTCAACAAAAAACAGCTGTAGAGACAACTCATTTCAAAATGTTCAAAAAGTTCTCTTCATTATCAGAACCAAATTTCTGCAAAGCTTACGTGAAAAAAATGATTTGTCCGACCGTAGCCATGCCTCTAGAAGATCCTCTTGTTGCTTAGCTCGGTTCGGTCCAGATATTCTGCTCATGTGCCTCTTATCTCCACAGATAATTCCTGTACACGTTTATCCTGCAGCCTGCATAGAGCGACTGTCTCCTGCTTTCCTCTGCATGCAGAACACAACACCATGAGTAAACATTACTCTTTAGGTGTGGGCTTTGCTCTGTTGTCACAACGCCTCATTTAGCTCTGCAAAATAAAAACTTCAGCGTGACAGGCGGAAGAATTCAGAGTCAGTATCTAGTTTGGTTCATTTTAAGCTAAATGTTCATATTGTCATTATTGCATTTTTCAAATACTGAAGTAGCAAGCATTATCAACTCTAGCTTAAATTCTTGGCGAGCTAACATGTAACCTATTCTGAGGCTTTTTGTAGTCTATGCTACTCCATCTTGTTTATTAAGATCATGTTTACGTCTTTTTAGTGTGTCATAGTTTATAACTAAACCCTGGACCTTGAATGCAACATTTGGTACGATGTTATACGTAAAGTACTTAAAAGTTTATTTACGTGGTACCTTTCCACACTGTCCACAGTCTGGGTCCAACATCTTGGAAAGATAGCTCTCCTCTTGGTTCTGGGTTGGGAGACCACTAAAAGTTTCGGAGTTTATAAGCTCAGAATACAGGAAAAGGTATATATTTGAATCAAATCTTAAATATACAATGGACCCTGTAAAGGTCTGACAAAAATGTTAAAATGAAACCCAGATCTGATTGGTGGTCAGTGTAGCTACATTAAAACAGGAGGTGTTTGGGTTTCTGTGGTTGGGCGAATCAGGACCTTCGCCAGCTTCTTCTGACTAAAACAAGTGAATCATGAAGAATATTATGAGGACACATTATGATTGTGACAATAATGTTTCCTTGAATCCATGAGCAAACAGAGAGATGCGACAGTGTGGAGTAGAAACAAATAAAAAAGCAACCACATCAATTTTCAAGTCATGTTCAGAAATTCAACCAACCTCAAATATTCGCGTGACTTGCAGTATGGTACAAGATCCCTGTAATCTTAAACACTCCAAATAGAAATGACTTCAGGAAAACTAACTTTTCAAGATGTTTTTATGAGGTGTTATCTTTTTATACGTCTGACAAATCAGATGACATGATGGATCGATCTGAGCAGGATAAAACTGTTCTTGAGACACAGACAGAAAACAACAATAATACAAAATAAATAGTCTGTTAATGTTGCCTTTCTGTAAATATACAATATCTATCAAATATACAGATAAAGAACACTCTTAGGTTGGAAGTTTGTTTTTGTTTTCTCATGCTTTTATTTTGAAGATTGCTAACATCTCTCTTTGAGGTCAACATTTTGTAGTTTCTCTTTTTATTTCAGGTCTTATTTAGAGAATAGAAAGTTATTTTTATACTGAAATTAAAAAACTGAATATCTGACATTCTTTGACATCCTTTTATTAATCTGCGATCACATTTAATACAGTTTTTGTTATTATTTACAATAGATGTGAGATGTATAATGGTCTTTTAGGACCATTATAGATATGGGGGGGAAAAAATCAAAGGGTAAATTTTCATGAAAAAAAAACCTCAGATGTCTAATACATTTTCAAGATTTCAGAATTTTTTCTTGCAAATTAATTGACTTTTCAAACTCAGAAATTTCCATGACTTTTTCTGAAAAATTTCTGAAATTAATCTCAAAATGTCAGATTTTTTTTTCTCATAAATTTTTGACTTTCTCGTGGAAATGACATTAGGACATTTTAATGAAAAAAGAATAACAGTTACAGTGAAAATAACAGAATCATAGAGCAGTCCTGTCCTTCATGTTACATAGTGTTGCTAAAGAAAGATGGCGTCTATTCTGTTTGTTCTTGTTCATGGTTGTTTTCTCCAGTTTTTTCTCTTTCAACTTCTGTCATGTAAAAGGACGATGCTGAGACATTTCCCCAGACTTCAGAAATTTCAAAGACATTTTCACCATTTTCTAGATGCTCATGGTGCCTGATACTTTTAATGTAGTTCTCACAGAGTTTTTCTGCTTTCTCTTTTGCCATTTTTTGTAGCTCCTCATTCAAATGGTTGCCGACTTCCTCTGCCAGCAGGTTGTCATACACCACGCTGTAGTAGGGAGCTCCACATCTGTACCCTGGTTTCCAGGCTCTCCAAACTTCTGAGATGCTCCAGAGAAACAGAAAACTGCAGCACAGGCCAAGGCCAATGTCCTGAGAGAAAAAGAGAAATTAATTCAAAAAGATCTGAATTTATCTTAAGGGACGGTGACTTTAAGGATAACTGTAACCTGATATTTTATAATATTATATTTTAAAGTAAAATCACTTTAAATAATGCACTGATGTAAAGTCAAAGACTCAAAACCTTTTTGTACTCCTGTCTTCAATCTGACACTAAATAAATGCCAACATCACAGGTTTGGAGAGTTCTGTCTCGAAAAGAAATGCAAAATAGCATAAGATTCTTCTAAATAAGTTTATTCCAGTTACTTGAAACTGACATCAAAACTAATCTGCTTTGAGCTCCATAATCAGTGCAGTGATACTCACAAGTGACATGGTCTTGTAGTAGTCCCGGGTCCGTTCCTCTTCGTAGGTCAGATTTGTTTTGCAAGGCATTCCAGTCTGAGTTGAGTTGAGGTTTGTCCTCAGGCAGAAGTACCAGTCTCCATCAAAGAAAACCAGAGAAATCCAGAGAGCTGTGAGACTGGTGAACCTTATGATCAATTTTACGAAGTAGTGCCCGCAACAGCTACTTGGGCAATAGCATCTGAAGACTCGTTGACTGGAAAAAGGTTTTCGGCGGTAAAAAGGCTCAACAATGTTGACGACAAAAGTCAGGATCAAGGGAGGCAAAACCAAGTATAAGAAACCGCTGGCATGGAAACCAGGCCTGCAGGAGCAAACGAAGTGCATGTCAAATACATACTGCAGGATGGAGAAGAGGACAACCAGCAGGAACATGCTGACAGCATGTTGCACCAGTTTCAAGAGCCTTGTGGCGGACTCTGCACCCAATGTTGGCATTTTGTCTGAAGAGTTTGAAGTCTCTGTTGCTCTGGTTGTGTCGACGTCTTCTTGATGTTCTCACCTTCCACTCTGGGTGAAGTCAAAATGCCTTCATCCCTTACGCTGCTTTCCACTTTTTATCTACAACTAAACCACAATAAATGTGAGCCAGTGGTGAACCACGGTGTGCCACTGCTTTCATAATGATGGTGCCGCTTGCTTTCAGTTTTCAGAGATTTCTGAAACTCTTGAACTTTTTGTAATTTAGTCAACATTACACTGAAGAAAGATGTACTTTGGATGCTTATAATTTTGTTTTTTTGTGTTCACTTGTCCTGTCTGTCGTGCTGCTGTCTGTCTTGGTCAGGTCACCTTTGTGAAAGACGTCTTGATCTCAACGGGTTTTTATTTGTTCAAATAAAGGTTTAATAAAAAATAAAACAATCGACTTTGAATTATGACTGCACTAGACTCTTTAAAACCCCAACGCGGTCCGGCAGAGCCGCACTGACACCACGCATGCTTTTGTGTAGTTTTGGGAACTGACGGTCTGACGGGACTTGCTCTATTTTAAAAGCCGATGAATCTTTCCTCGTTCCTTGTGTGCAGAAAATATTTTGTTAATGTTTGGCAGAATGAATTTTGATGGTTTTCAGTCAGTTTCCTTTTGCTTTGCTAACGTTAGTGTGGTGTAAAAAGAGTGTCTGTTCATAGAAAAGACAAAGTTCAATGTGGTTGTAAAATGTAAAGTTGTAAAATAAATAAATAAACTAAGTGTAGTGGTGATTTGATAAACTTTTTTCGGGTTATTATCCAGTTAGCCAGCAGCCTAACTGGATAATAACCTTTATTAATCTGAAGAAACCCACATGGTGGTTTATGATTTACCCTCCAGTTCAGACCAACACACTGTGAACCACTGCTTCAACATTTGGAGGATGTTTTAATTTTGAAAGTGTGGTTAACATCCATGTTAATTCACATCCCATTTATGTTCCCATTTTCTATTTGACATGCAAACCTTTGACAGACTTTTTCAGCTGTTGGAAAAAAAAGTTCAATTACTTCCATAAACAAGTTTCTCTTCCCTTTTTTACTTCCATAACTAATAACAAATTGCCTCAGTTCATTCTGGACCAACGTAATGGTTGGTTTGTAGTTTTTCTGATTTTGTTTTTGTTTAACTTTTTTCACTCAATTTTTTCCTAAATATAAATTCATTATTATTATTTGAATGTATGAGTCATTTTGTGTCTGTTATAGGGGAAAATTGGGATACCTCACTGTACGATTGTCTATATTTTGATAAATGGATAATATCAACCAACTGTTGATCCATTAAAATCTTCTGTACAATGAAATGGACTCCGAAATTATTATGTTCAGCTTAGATATTGAATCTTTACTTACGAATAATAACAATCTGTCTACAGTCACTGGAACATTTCCTTGACACCAGATCTACAGAAATTACCCTACTTTTAATTAAACTAGCTGTTTTTGTTATGAAGAGGAAAACATCTTAGAAAAGATGTTGAGCCTTCAAAATTTACACATATAATCTGATTTACCAGATGTAAAAAAAAAAAAAAAAAAAAAAATCAGCAGCTGATTAAAAAGTTAGTTTTCCACGGCCATTCTTATTTTGAGTGTTTAAGTTGATCTGGTCATTCGTGCTATAAATCACATGAATATTTGAGGTTGGTGGAATTTCTGAACAGGACCTGAGAATTGATGTGGTCACTTTTTTGTTTGCTTCTACTCCATACTGTCGCATTTCTCTGGTTGCTCGTGGATTCTAGGAAACCTTACAATAATCATAATACGTCCTCATAACATTCTTCATGACATTGTAATCTGTTCACCTGTTTAGGTGTTTTAACAAGGGGCTGGCTTGTCTTCTCAAAACTTGTGTGATTCAGAACTTATAGCCTCTGTTTCAATGTCGCTACACTGGGTGCCAATCAAATCTGTTTCATTTAAAGCACAGAACTTTATATGGGTTGTCTGTTGCGTCTTGTGGATTTGATTCAAATTGACACCTTGTCTTGTAGCCTGAGTTTATTGACTCAAAACCTTTTAGTGGTCGCCCAAACTAATTCTTCATTATTTATTTAGAGTTCCTATTTGCGCTTTCTGAACCATTTGAAAGAAAGTTTGTTGCAGCTTATTTTCCACCAAAGTAGTCAGTCTATTGTTTTTGTCTGTTTCAGTGTCTTTATTATTTATTTTTACACTGGCTGTTATACTGAACAAATTAAAGTTGTGTTGTTTTTACAAGTTAGCTTGTGAGGTTATTGGTGTATTTCAGTGTGCTGTACTGGTCCAGTGTTATCAAATAAATTTGTAATTCAGTACATTTATGTCTGTGTTTCAAAAAAGAAACATTTTAACTCAGTTCTGCATTGTTTTTCTGTATCGGGTCGGTATTGGCTGATAGATCACAGATATCGGCATCAGAATTGAAAAAAGTGGATCGGTGCATCCCAAGTTTTGAAAAGCAGCCAAGAAAGATTTTATTCTTAGAAACTTTTACTTGAACTTGAGTTTTTATGATATACATTAAAGATTGTATTGTGTTTGTTTTCTATATTGTACATTGTCCCCCTCAGTAGCGATCTTAGGACAGCCAGTGCTACAGATTGAAATCACATATGTGACTATCTTTCTATTCTGATCATAATATAATTCTAAGATGCTGTACTGTGGACCTCCAGGGACACCATATGTATTGAGTTTTTCATTTCTGTCCATATTGGTTTAGAAGCAAATACAAAACAGTGCCAGAACTACACATAATGAATCTCTGTTTAACTGGTTAGAAAAATTCTCAGATACCAAAAACTGAGACCAGTAGCCAGTTCTTCTCTGACTTTATTTTGACGGAGGATGTTCGGCCAGGTAGTTTGAAGATTTCTGGTTGAAACTGTTTTACAAACATTCTGAAGAAAGACAAATTTAAATTTGAACTTTGTAAGTAGTGGACTTACAAAGTCCATGTATCTTGTCAATACATGATATAAAAACCAAGATAAAATTTTACATTGAAATCCTATGAAATGCTTCTTGGTTCACGCAGTGATTCTATGTGGGGAGATCTGACTAATCTTGCGCAATTTTGGTTTTCTATATGTCATATGGACATATGAGGTCAGGAGAATTTTCAGACTAGGCATGTGTTGTGCTGTGGTTGTTGTTTTAGTTATGATTCCTTTAAGATCAAATGTATTATACCCCCCTTCATAGAAATGTGATCTAAACCAACCTCGTGTCGTCACCTTGATTCCTTCAGGCTGTTATCAGTGACATTCAGACTTGGTTATTTGTGTATTTAGGATTTTAATAGACTTTTTCTTTTAAAACTAGTTCAACAAAATACAGAGTAAAGTTGTACAGAAAATGTTAAAACTGAGAACCACAGTACCCAAACAGCCACATTTAGCAGCTGCTAGTAACATACTACACCAGAGGTAGCTTTGTTACAGCAGTGTCAACATGTCCTTTTCATGAAGATTTTTAACTCAATATTGCCTATCTAATACATTTTGTGTTCAGCTATATTAAATTAATTTTGCTTTAACATTTATTTTCTGACACATAATTTGTTAAACATTGCAGAACTCGACCTTGGTCTAATTTTGAAATGTCAGCTGTTCAGACTTTGCAGGTGGCGAGTCCATACCCAAGGCAGGCCCATTCGTTTGTCATCTCTATGAAGCCGGGGGCTGAAGTGAGGCCGCTTGCTGAAATATAGACATTTGTGATGGATATATGACATCATTTTACATCCATGCAGAGTCATTAACTTCAAGAAGATTTAAATGGGATGCAGGGTTTAGTCAGTAAGGAACAAACAGATTTATTAAAGCAGTTAGTGTTAAGATGACAAACATGATAGTAGTGGAAAATAAACGGTTCAGGTTGTTTACTCACATGAGAGCAGATTGTAGAGGTTACAGTAGTTGAGTCCGTCATCAAGGAGACTGGTGAAGCTCAGAGAAATAGACTGACCCTGGCAAAATATTACAAAAATATGCTTTTAAGCTTTTATATGATGACCAAAATAATGATAAGAGCTTTGTAAAAACCTCAATGTGTAAACATTTTAGCCATATGGTACAGACCACACACCTAACACCTAAAAATACCTGTATTTTTGATGCAGGTGTCTTAACATCTTCTTAAGCCCTAAGATATGAAATGTATCATTTAAAAAAATAGGGTTTTTTTCACCAGATCTACCAGTTTAATAAGATATTTTTTTCCACACACACAAAACAATAAAACAGCTGCATTTAATGATATTCTTCTCTGATGCCCTCTGGTGGAGAATCTAAGTACTGCAGGTTGTATTCATCAAAAACTCAGTTCCCACGGCGTATAAACTATTCTTCTAATGTTTAGAACCAGAAAATGTAAAATATTATTTTAAATAATGTTGTCTTTAATACGGAAGGAGGGACGATGAGAAAAAATTGTAATAAATAAATAAATGTATTATATATAAAAAATCTAATCTTAAACATTTTTTTAAATAAATGTTTCATTATAATTTCAAAATAATAAAATCTAATCTGTTTTTATTTATCATTATAAAATATATGTCAATATAGCTTAAATGTATTAAATTTATCAAGCTGCTCTGCTCTTGATAAAAAAGTTTCTAAAGAAGAAAAAGACCGAAGGAAACGTCCAGAAGCTGCTTTGGCGGACACTGCTGCAAAAAATCCCCAAGAATTCATGGCCGATGTGTGAGGCAGAATTTAAACAAGTTCAATAAAATTGAG